GAGAAATCCTTGATTAGTTGCTTGGCCTATTAAGAATAAATTATTTTTTAACTTTAAGGCATATAAGACTTATCCAATGTATTTCGGCTTCCATGTGTTATCAAGTTTGCAATGTATTTAAATTCGACCAACTCCTTATATGCAAAAGTTGTTAAATGTCAACAATAATAATGGATTTGCTTCCACAAGATATATTTTTGAATGAGGCAAATCAGTCCAATTAATTGGCGATGTGATTGGTTTTGCCTCTTTTCATGTATCATATGTTTATATCATCTATAAAGACATTGTTTTGTGTCATAAATGTTGACCTAACATTCTTATTAAAATTATCAATTACTACAATATTAACTTTGTAATCTCTTATATTTTCACTTTTATTATTGATGGTGTCCTGGCTATTCTTTGCTTTAGAATATTTGCACTTCCAATGGTCTTGTCAACCACATTATTTGTATTTTCTTTTGTTTTGTTTTTTTTTTGTTTTTTTTTTTTTTTTTGAACTCCACAATTTTGGTAGATTGTTTCTATTTGTCTTTGATGGAAAGTGTCTTTTTGGCTTAGACTTGTACCATAGCCATAGTTAGAGAAAAATGCTATTTCTTCTTTGTCATTATAATGCTCTTGTATGTAGCTCTTGTTCTTCTTCTTAAGCAAGTGCAAAGTCAACACTTTGATGGTTTTCTCATGGCATGTGATGCTATCCCAAGCCAAGATTTTACAAATAGCAGCCCAGTCCAAGATGGATTCATCAACATTATTAAATAGGTTTGCAAGCTACTCTATACAACTTGCATGATCAATTACTTCACCATGTGGCTTCATTTTCATATTAAAAAAATTGTTGTTATAATAGTTGCATGTTCTTTGCAGCATTTTGCATTTTGCTCATGAATTGTACACAAACAAGGCCACATTTGGTTAAAAGTGTGGCAATTTATTAATCTACACATGAACTTTTTATCTGTAGCAGAGATGAGAAAAGATTAACAAGCCACATCTTTGTCAATCCATTCTTCTTTGTTCTCAATTCCTAGAAGCTTTCTTGTTCAAAGTAAAATACTCATCTAAAATTTCCAAATAGGAGAATTCTTTCTTATAGGTTTCTCTACATGTGTGGTGCTAATGCTCGTGAGATCCTTCCTGGGGGAGTTCTGTGCGATGGAAGGCGATGGTCCAACGGATGAGCATCGGACTGATCCATTTGAAATTTCATCTGGGACATGCACAGGCTCTTTGTGGATCCCTTCTTCTATCATAGTTGTAGAGAAGGTTGAGCAAGAAAATACAAAACAAAAGAAAGATCCGTTCCTCGCAGAAAAGAAGTGTAGGTGGATAGAGATCCAAAAAAGGTCTATTTGCTCGAGCTAACTTCTGAGGGGCAGGTATATCTCACAGTAGAGACGATGAATGCGTAGACCCATAATCTGTTGAGAGTAAAAGGAGAAGAAAACTTGAATGCTACAACCTAGATCGCACAGTGCTTTAATGTGAGAGAGAGCTATTTTAATTCATCATGTAGAAAAATAGAGAGTACAGCTTTTCGTTCAAGGTTAATTCGGTTTAAACGATGGGTCGAAATAACTTTGGGCATTCGGTTAAAACGGTGTGTTCATCATCCGTTCAACTATCGTAATCTGGTTTGTTAAGCGCTTGAGTGTTTTATCTCCATGCGTAAAATTTTCAACATATGCCTTCAATACAAGTTGAGGCATCAGACTTCATCATCACTATCCTAACCACTGCATCAATTTGATGAACATCATAGCCTGTGCTTTTGGTGTGGGTCTCTTAGTAGCAACTTTTAGAAAGTGTTGAATCCATCTCCATAACATCATGAGCTGAATCACTATTGTCCGGGAACGATGACAGCTTTGAGGTTCTTGTGTCAGCAACTTCGAGAGTAGGGAGTAGTATTGTTAGCATCGTCTCGTGCAGGAATCCTGCTCCATTTCCTTCTCCCTTTTCAATTCCTCATCGTTTACTCACAACTTTCAGAAGGAATGCTCACCCCTTTCATAAACAACTATGCAGGCTGCGATAAGGAGAGATGGAAAACTAACAAAATGGCCAATTTCCAACTTCCCATCAATACTTGAATCCGAAGAAGAAGAACTGGGTGGATGTAGATTTGTGACCACAACCACTCCAGATAAGTTAAAATTTGTTCCTTTTGCAAGGACAGGGGGGGAGGGGATTTGGCGAGTACTTTTTCAGTTCCCGACACATCATCTGAGTCACTAGATACTACGGACTTATCCTCCTTGTTAAAAACTAGCTTCTTTGTCTTCAAAGTGGTCTTCAATAACTCTTCCTTGTCCTTTTTCTGAGAACAAGAAACTTTAAACCTTTGCTTTTTGTTACTGGGGCTACAGTTACTGATTTTATTGAATACGATGCAGCAACCCATCTTTTCATAGTCAAATTTGTCAGCATCGTCCGAAGAAATTCTGGTTGATTCATAACACAAGCTTTCCTTGGCAACTTCTTTCACAACAGTTTTACGTTTCTCAATAGGGAGTGACATGACCAGAATATGAATTAGAGAATGTGTTGGAGAGAATTCCACAAACTTGTTTGTCCTCTGTGTGTTTAGCCCCGGTGTTGATTATTGAGGAGGATCAAGTTGATCTTTTTGAAGAAAAATTTCCCTTTTTTGGGACTCATCCAACACCCATCTCACATTGTGGTGTGGTTTGTGTTGCAAGTTAGAAAATATTCCCAAACACGCATTGAGCTGCAATCAACTACTCATTCTTTGATACATTGCGAAGGAATTACATCAATGTAGCACTTATATAGGACAAAAAGAAACAAATAAAGAAAATAAGAGTTTTGATTTGTAAATATATAACAATCATTACCAAGGTGAAATTTGATATGATAATATATACTATTCAGTATTAACACAGTAAAATTTAAAATAGAAGTGAAATTCATACGTAAATATACATATTTAAACTATAATATTATATTTTTTAAATAAAAAATGATCCAAAAAGAGGTAATAAGATTATATGCAGGATGCATCATATGCTCATATGTGCAATTATTTTGAATAATTGTGTTAGAAATGAAGGCATTTACTTTAAGATTTATTTTTTGTCTTTTTATTACAAGTATCCCATGGGTGATGCAAATAATATGTTAAATTAATGCTTTTGCTAACAAGAAAAAATTATAATTTAAAAAAATAGTATGAGTAATTTATTTTCATAAAAAAGTAATTTAAAAATTTAAAATCAAAATTATTATATTTTTTAATGTATCATATTAAAAAAATAATAAAAAATATTTAAAAATAAAAAATAGTTTTACTATTAATAAAAAGAAATATATTTGACAAAAACAAATTATTTATCTATCTGCAACCTAATAAAAATCTAACATGTATGATATTATTCCAAACCAAATTTTTCAAAGGCTTAGGAGTAAATATCTTTTTATTCTAAATTATCTAATTTATTTGAAAAATTAAATATATATATATATATATATATATATATATATTTAGAAAATTTAAAGATTTTGCAAATAGAGCAAGCTTCAAAAGCTTCTATGAACTCAAACTTATGCAATACATGGTCTTTTTAATATCCTTACTTGTGATGAAAATACAATAATATTGTAATTTTAATATTATGTAATTATAATAATTATCTTCATAAATTTATAAAATATATAATATTTGTAATGATTTTTTGTGATTTTTTATTTAAAGGAATTTTAGTTTTAATATAGATCAAAATATTAAATAGACCTAGGCTTTTACAAAATTTTCCCACTTTTTCTAGCCATCATGAAAAAATAAAATGACCTCTAGATTCATTTCTCCACTATTGGATCCAAGACCAATAAAAACCAACCACATTCATCATGATTATCATATTTTTCATCATGGGTAGGTTGATTTAGTAAAAATTTGGGAGAGAGAGTGTGTTGCTAATGCTACCACAATCCCCCATTCATCACATGCCATTTTTATTCAATATCTTTTAAATCAATGAAAGTTTCTTTCTTTACTACCTTTTAAACCATTTGATTTAACAAAAAAAATTATTGGCATATATATATATATATATATATATATTAATAATAATTAGTAGATTGTAGTGGCAAAAGAAAAAAATGTGGTGATAATAGTAGAATCTTTTATATATCTATATAACTAGAAATATTTTTTATTTTTATTTTATTTTTTTGTTTCAAAGATATTTTTAACAATAATTTGCTTCTTAGAGTCCTTCTTGTGATATGGTTTGCTCCTTATGAGATAGAAAATCTTTATGTAACTTTATTATGGCAATATCTTTGTGTCTTTAAAATAGATTTAATGCATATTTTGGTTTTTAATTATAGTCTTATAAATTTTGCTATTATTTGATTTTCTATATCATTAGGATTAAGAATGAGCCAATTCCTCTATAAAACCAACAACAAGATTTTTGGAGAATGCATTTTTGAACATTATTTAACATATTTTGAGTTAGTTTCTTGAACAAGTTGATACTTAAAACACTGCAATTAATTTTTATTTTATTTTATTTTTCTTTATTGTAATTTAACATTTTGGCTTGAGATAGAAGTATGGAATGCAGATGTGAGCATGAAGTAGGAGGGGTCAAGTAATGCACAAGCTGCCAGGATTCCTTCCTTCCTTCTTGTTCACAGCCAAAAAAGCAACAAGGGAATGAATGCTCATGGATGTGAAACCCAGAAGGCTGCTGCTGAATTATCGTCCATCCACCCCCCAACAGTGTGGAGTTAGGTCTATCCAGACCTTGACGGAATCCACCGGGGCGGAACTGGATGAGGGAATCTAAGTCTGTCGGAAGTCGTCGGAGAGCACAGACGACAGAAGAAGAAGAAAAGAGCCTGATGGATGGATGAACGAATAATCAGTCGGTCGGTCGCTTCCCCAGGACCACCTGTAGGAACCCGGGGGGAGGGTGGATTATGTGTATGTATGGTATAGTATGTACTCACGGGGCTTGTGCTGCTGCTGAGGGAGGGAGTAGGAGGCAGTTGCGGGAGGTTGGTTGGTTGGTTATACGAGGAATGGGCGAGGGGGAGGCTCGGAATCGGGCGTGGCGACATGGAATTTCCGGGTGGTGCTCCTTCTCCTCCTGCACTTGCGTCACCGCGGCCAATTATATCTTCTTCTTTTACGATGCATCATGCGAATGGCAGCCCCCGTTGTCTGTCTGTCTGTCTGGCACTCCGCAGCCAGGCAGAGGAGCATTATTAATGCCTGTTGCTGGCTCCATTCTGCCGCGCCCTGGTCGAGTAGCATTCGCTTGTAGAGTCGCTGAATTCGGCGCGCTCGTGCCCGGAATCCGATTTCATTGAAGAATACCAGCGGAGTAGCTCTCGTGCATGATATTGATAAGTATTGGAGGTTGAGGATTCCGTGAAAGGTTTTTTCAAAGAGTTCTTGATTGTGTGGTTAATTGCTGAATAGCGGAGTAGTACGGCAGTAGTTCATCACGATTATCGTCATCTTTCGGCTGTAGATTGTACGACCGGAGGGTTAGGGTCAAAGGGGTGGAGGAGTAGCGATGGGCGGAGAAGAAAGGGAAAGGGCAGGGAAGGGGAAGCATTGAGCGCGTTTTGAAAGGGAAGTGAAAATGGTGAACGGGGAGGGGGAAGTGGAGCGGGAGCATGAACAGGAACCGCAGCAGCCCGGCATGTTTAAGAAAGTTGTCCTGGGGGTATGCGTGATGGAAAAGAAGGTTGTTGCATCAATTGGATCCTCATTACGTCGTTGCAGTCATTGTTTTGTTTTGTTTTGTTTTTTTTTCTTTGGTGAATTTCAATGGATGTTGCTCCTCCTCGCTAGCGTCGTAGCTTTCGAATCCTTAGTTTTTGAAGTTTTTTGACATTGGCTATTGAATGTGATCCACTGTTTCCACTAACTGAGCTGGTACTATCCATTTCATTCGCTGTACGTTTATTCTTTGGTTTAGAATTCGCATTCTGAGTAGCGGTGGGGATTTTCAGAGAGCACTCTGTCGTTTTCCGGAGTTTCAGGGTTCGAAATAGATTTTGACATCAATGTTGACTCCCGAATTCAAAATAGGAAGACGTGAAGCTTCTCTAACATACTTGCACCTTGACGTGGTAGTAGTAGCATGCAGCGGTTTCTGAGTGATTCGGACCTCCGAAGATACTTTCGAATCTAATTAGAATATCCTCCCAGTTCAAACGAAGTAGCAAGAATATTCCGATTAGTGAGGAGTTTTAGACGGGTATTGCATGAAGTATGCAGAAACTGTCAGTCTTGAAGAGAAAGTTTTTGATTGCGTTGACACAATTGATTGTCGAACGTGATAGATTTGTGACCGTCGCTGAACATAATCTTTTCATACTTACTTGATTTTGAGTCGGTCTGAAAGGCGAACTCTCAAATCAAATCAAGGGCTTGTTACGATGCACGCCTCGTTTACTTAGAAACTCAGATCTTCCAGTTTTTAAATTAGCCTGAAACCTAAGACTTCTGAATGGTTTTCTTACTTTTCTGATAATTGAATCTCCACCCTTGATAAGTTAAGTGGGATTCCATCGAAGTTTAGTTGGTCGAAACGAAGATACCGACAATATTGTGTGTAGTGGTTACGCTTATGGTCTGCAGGAAGAGCCTTAGCTACAACATGACTTCAGTCATGACGGTTTCATTTTGTTAGCCGTGTCTACCAACATGGTTTGTTTTGGTTTTGATTTGATGTAAGAAAGCAATTGGACGCTAACGGATTCATTGAAACTCTAAGCCTACGTTTGAAAATGAAGTCATAATGTTAGATTGCAGTATCCTGACGGACTCATATTGATCTCTACTGATTGGTGACTAATGTATGTTGGAGGATATGTTTGGTTATGTGCGAACACGGTCTAATATTGGAGCTCAGCGTGTTAATCACGAATGCTCTTATGCTAAAAGCTTCTCTGTTAAGGTGCATCTTTGGAAATTGGCAGGCACTATCTGGACCAATGGCTCAAATTCTTGATCGGCTTAGAATGTTCGGCGAATTTGAGGTCTGTTTTCCACTCCTTTTATTTTTATTTTTAAGGCGCAGTAAATTTTATTCGAACCTCATCGGGGTAACAGTTGAACGTTACTCTCAAGAGCTACATCAATACAGCTTTATTTTGAAGGGTATTACGTTTCCTAATATAATAACCAAGTTTGCTGTTCGACTTAAAATTAAACCGAACTCGTGTAAAGCGGTGTTTCTCTTCAAAATTTATTCCTTCGAAGGAGAAACACATGTTCCATGCTCCTCCGCTTAAAGGCAGAAGTTTACACTCTCTGTTAGCCAGTTTTGCAAAGAAACTGGTAGTCTACTTCTGGTTTTTTCAGTACTTTATCTTTATGAGGCTTGCGGCTCAGGTATCTATATTCTTGTTGTGTCTGAACCATTACATGGTCTGTGCAGATCATAATCTTTGGGGACCATGTAGTACTGCATGAACCGGTTGAAAAGTGAGTGTTTCTGTTCTATCCTGCAACTGCTTCGTCATCAAGTGTTACTTTGTAAAATAGTTGGAACTGTCTGCAGTTGTGAATCTTTTTCTAAGTATAAACGTCTCATTGAACTGATTTCTGATGTGGTCATTGTTCTACCCCATTTCTATTTACGAGTGTACCTTCGATACGTTCTTTGAATTACATTTCGCAGGTGGCCGCTCTGTGACTGTTTGATAGCATTCTATTCTACTGGCTATCCCCTTGACAAAGCTGAAGCTTATGCTGCTCTTCGCAAGTCAGTTATATTTTTCTCTTCGTCTTTTCGTTTGTTTACTTGAAGTAATTAAATAGCATCAATGGAGCTTTATTCGTTAAGTCCCTCAGTCATAATGCTCTGGCAACCACTTTCACATGATTTGGATTTGCCATTTTACATGCCATTCAAGGTTACTGTGGATTCGCTCTCAGCATGCCAGTCTAGCTCTTGTGACGGTTTCCATTAACTTTAAGAGGACTCTGTATAGAAATAACCGTCTTTACGGGAGATACAGGATGTGACAATGGCTTTTAACGTCTTCAAAACCTCATGAAATGACTAGTAGTGTTCTCATCGTCTGTTTTCTGGCTGTTATGATCTAGACCGTATCTCATTAACCAGCTGAAACTGCAGCACCTCCTTCATGACCGTCGCAAAGTTTATGCTGTGTGTACATCTTGACCCCCTGCTTTTCATATATTTTGTCGCACACAGTAGCAGGGAATATTTGAACGGACCCTTAATCAATATTTGCCTATCAATATTACTTGTTTATATTGATATCTGCGACTCTTTCCTAATATGAGCTGGCTTAGTAAGATCTGAGGATTCATGTTTGAATTGGAATTTTTTCTCGTGTTTTTGCCAGCGCCTTGAAGAGTTCGGGATTCCAACACCCAACTATGCTCTGGTTAGCCGAAACTTTCCCTATGAAGAGGTGGAAAATTTTGTGGAAGAGGAAGACTATGTTGAAATTCATGGCAAACGAATACTGAAACCATTTGTGGAGAAGCCTGTTGATGGTGTGCACGTTCTCCTACCAGCCTTGCAGCCGACTTTATTTCGTTTCTATCAGCTCAGGAACTACAGCAAACTTTACACAGAGTGTTTTTCTCTAAATGATTTTATCCATGTATTGCCTTGTTCCTATCACCTGAAAACCATGGCTAACGCTTGAGGAACCACGTCATGTTGTTTGACCCTAAAGTCTATTGGGGATCCTTGTTTAAATTTCTTTTTTCCAGTTCACATCATTAATCACTCGTTATGAATCAGGTGATAACCACAGCGTAATGATATACTATCCAAGCTCTGCTGGTGGTGGAATGAAGGAGCTTTTCCGAAAGGTGAACTTGATCTGTCCCATTGATGCACTGTAGATGGAGGTTGGATGGATTAATTGCAATTCTGAGAAGATTAAGCGATTTAAGAGGATTACTAATTAGTAGGTTTTGCTTGGTCAATTGACCTGTAGCGCGTGTCTTTTGTTTGAGATTATGGTCTATTCTGTGAACCTGCTCTGCAGTTAGCACAGGATAGTTATGTTGTCTACCATCACGAGCCCCTAGAGATAATTGTGTTGAGAATCGAAATGGACGAAGAATTTTCTTAGTTGGGAACAAGCATTGCACCATTATATGTTGTACAGGTGGGTAATCGATCTAGCGAATTTCGTCCCAATATACGGAGAGTACGGAGGTCTGGTTCTTATATCTACGAAGAGTTTATGCCTACTGGAGGCACCGACGTCAAGGTACTTAAAGTTCTTTTTTGGACGGTTACTGGAAGAGTTGTGGTTTTCATAAATTTCATGTAGTCGATACGATTGATATATAAGACAAATCTATTACTTTTTAGCATTTTTCTATTTACTTGAAAGGGCTTTGTTTGAAAGTTGTAATCTGTCACACGATTATCTGATATGAATGCATGTGGAGTACTAGAGCAATCCTCCTGGAAGTACATATACTGCTCTGGCGATCATATCTCTTCAAACTGATGTTTGGTTTACATGAATTTGTTTTAGGTTTAACGTAATCAAGCACACGTGTCATATTATATTGAACTGATGCATTCACTTGCAAAGTTCCGAAGTGATAATTACGTTTTGTTATTTGAAACACTTTTCGAGTTGGGAATCTCGGTTTTGAGGACAGTAAAAAGCTTTTACCCAGTCGAATGGATTTGAGGAGTTCACCGCAAAAAAAATTCGTTGTGGTGGAGTTCGTAGTTGAATCGGGAAATAACCGTGTGCAAGTTCGCAAGTGAGAGTGTTCATGTGACAACCTTTGGGCGTGCAGGTGTACACAGTGGGACCAGAATATGCCCATGCAGAAGCTCGAAAATCTCCTGTTGTTGACGGGGTAGTTATGAGAAGTGCAGACGGGAAGGAGGTGAGCAAATAAGGATAAGTTTGGTTGATTCTAATTTTGGAAAAGCGGACTTAAAATCTTCACCACTTGTTTAGAGATGATAACCCTTGTTAGCTTGCCCTGACATCATGTACAGCTCGGAAATTCTGGAGTTAAAATTAGTTGTGGTGTTCTCAAGGCCTTTTTGTTGAAGAGAATAAGTGGAAACGATGTTTGTTTTTCTTTTCATTTTATTTTATTATCTGGTCCAAAGAAATTTAGACCATGAACCATGTCATGTTGTTGATTTTATTTAAATGAATAGTTTCTACAGTTGAGTTTAGATGTTGTGTATACTACGATGGTCGCAGATGCTTTTTAATGCTCTATTATTTGATATCTGTATGATCTTATTAACTGAGGCTCTCATCGTGCGTTTCAGGTAAGGTATCCTGTGCTTCTGACTCCAGCAGAGAAGCAAATGGCTCGCGATGTTTGTGTTGCTTTTGGTCAGGGGGTGAGCACTATTTTTTAACAGACCCTTTTAGTATTTAAAAAGAAAGAGAAAAAGAAGAGAAAGAAGTTAAATTCCAAAACCTCAAGGCTTACATGAACGTGCGTAAGACTTCTGACATACTAGGATTACTTACCTGCTCCGGTACTTCGAAATGCTTCTGACAAAAGGGATAATTGGCCTGCAGGTTTGTGGATTTGATTTGCTTCGATCGCAAGGCCGGTCATATGTGTGTGACGTTAATGGGTGGAGTTTTGTTAAGAACTCTTACAAGTAAGTAAACAATCTGTGCGATTTTTTCACCTAATATTCATCCCTCTGTAATACCAGATTGAGGAATTTTTCTTTCCCAATGTTCTACGAGGATCTAGTCTATTGATACTGATTATATTAGTGTTGATTCCAGGTATTATGACGATGCAGCTTGCGTGCTCAGAGCTATGTTTTTGGAAGCAAGAGCACCTCATCTCAATGTGAAGCTTTCATGTTTGCCGTGGACTAGAGTTGAACAACCTCTTGAAGCAGAGGACGGTAATAGCATTTTCAAGCAGGAAAGCAGTACACGTACTGGCACATTTGGTCGGTCGGAAGAACTGCGATGCGTCATTGCTGTTCTGCGCCAGTAAGAAAAGCTTAATACTCTCTTGATCTCTTTCTCGGCCCAATACATGGTTTTCCTTGTTTATTTTAATCATTTGTTGGATCTTTTGCAATGATCGAACGATCAACAATTGAATGATCAAAGAATGCGAACAACCTTATCTTGGATTTTCAACGAATAATGTAGTTTCTTTTCTTTTCTTTTCTTTTTCATAACCATTTTGTGCCTTGGACTCACTCTTCAGGATGTTTATTAGCGTAGTGCCTTGATAAGGATCTTTTTGATTTGATAGTGGTGACAGAACACCGAAACAGAAAGTCAAGATGAGAGTCACACAGGATAGATTACTCAGTCTCATGCTGAAATACAATGGTGGGAGACCTAGATCGGAGGTAATCGTTTTCTCGTAATGCGTTTTTATTTTCTTTTTACCATGCAAGCTACTTGTATTTTCTGTGCTTGATATAGCTAGATCCTCATGTTGCTTTTATTTTCTGAGTAGAGTTAGATATCATTGGCGCCAAGTTGACAGTATCAGTTACATATCATCACAGGCTAAATTGAAAAGCGCAGTTCAGTTGCAAGATTTCCTTGACGCCACCCGCATGCTTGTCCCACGAACCAGGTCAGTATGGTTTGTGCACACAGTTGATATCTGGGACATAAAATTCTGCTTTTTGTTGGTTGAGGCATTTCTATTTTGATACACACTTTTCTGAGGCAGAGGCTGATGCATTCTTTTTACGCTCTGAAAATATTCTCAGATCAGGGAAAGAGAGTAGCGATAGTGAGGCAGAAGCTTGGGAGCATGCCGAGAAGTTACGCCATGTGAAAGCCGTACTTGAGGAGGTGAACTGCTGCTTCGGTTTTTGTAGCATGTTTTTAGCTATCCATCATTTATATTACCAACGCTCTCAGTTCATTCTATACAAGCTGTTCATTTGAAAGCATCTCATGGCGCTTTGATTATCGTCTGTAACTAATTATTATTCTTGGTATTATGCAGGGTGGTCACTTTTCCGGAATTTATCGGAAAGTGCAGCTGAAACCTCTAAAATGGACAAAGGTTCCGATGGAGGAGGATGATGTTGAAGAAGAACGCCCCATAGAGGCATTGATGGTGTTGAAGTATGGAGGTGTTCTCACGCACGCCGGCCGAAAGCAGGTAATTTTAAATTTATCCACATTTATCGTTTAGTGGCACTTCAGCGAAGAGACTTATAAGTAATAGGGCGGAATCAAGACTGGCAGATTTTTTTGAAGCACCGTTTAAAAGCACCAAAGTCTGAAGAGTGCGGAATGAGCAGAATTTTGTGAACACTAACGTGACTTCAACGGTAGGCAAATCAAGTGCAAGTTAGTTGCACTTGTGTTGAAGGTTTCACCTTCAGATTCGAAATCAACTTTGCCCACTTATGGGTATCACTTGATAACTTTGATCATCAGTGCTTGTTGATGTGTGTGTACATTCATCCAGTTCTATCTTCAGTTTATAGGTTGGTCGTTGTGTACTACAGATCAATATTTCGAGCTTTGTGAATTAACTCAAAGGATTTGTGATTCCAGGCTGAAGAATTGGGGCGATCTTTTAGGAACGGCATGTATCCTGGTACGTCAGTTTTAGCCACCAAATTAATAAAATATCTATGTTTGTGTGCAAATTTGAGCTGGAAATTAACCGGACAGATTTTCGTTCAATGTCGGTTTTTAGATCTTATCCTACGAAGTTCATAAACCCGTCCTGGAAAACCGAAATTGGACCACAGGAGAGGGGACAGGCTTGCTGCGACTTCATAGTACTTACCGGCATGACTTGAAAATTTACAGTTCTGATGAGGGGCGGGTGCAGGTTGTTTCCCTTTCTGCACTTCAAACATCGTCAACCCGCTTTCAGTTGTAGAATACACAGCTTTTTATTTTGCTTTCGTTCCCGTCCTTCTCTTTGATTTTGGGATGCATAGGTAGTGGACGCATTATAGTGAGTGTTCTACTGACTGAGAAAATCAATCATTTGGTTATTCTTTAAATTCATGGCAGAATAATGATGCACTCCATGAGGTTCCTACTTGTAAACTTTCATCTTCGAAATTTCTTTCGCGAAGGTATTCATTTTTCAAGAGCATATGGCTTTCTGCAGATGTCAGCTGCTGCTTTTGCGAAAGGCTTACTCGATTTGGAAGGTCAGCTGACCCCCATTTTGGTAAGTACTGTAACAGTTCAGTTCAGTTTTCTTTAAAGCAGGAACTGGTTTGGAAGCGACTTTAAATTGGATTTTATTCTTGTTTTTCTGCTACTTCACCTCTCGGACATTGACCATTCTGTACCTATGGTATTTCTTTGAACTAATTGTTTAGGAAATTGCTTGCAGGTTTCTCTGGTCAGCAAAGATTCTCCCATGCTAGATGGTCTAGAGACTGCTAGTATTGAAATGGAAGAAGCGAAGGTATTTTACGACAGCATCTTGCTATCTCAAAAAGTTTCGCACAATCTTTGGATCTTCAATTTCAGATTATGAATGTTCAGAAATGTCAAGGAGTGATTGTTGCTTATATTATGTCACTACTCTCCCGCTACTTATTAGTGAACTTGAAAGATCTTCTCAAGTTTACATGCTTACTCGGTTGTCCTGACCTTCAGACGAAGCTGTATGAGGTAACGACATTATCGGAAAAGCAGCCGCTTTCTTCATCCTTAAAGTCTGAAATGCCTTGGATGGTGGATGGAGGAGGCATGCCTGAAAACTCCTTAGAATTGATGAAGAAACTGGTTCGATTCTTATCTATTTCTCCTGCTACCCTTGAAGAGTACATGTATTTGATTAATGCTAATATTTGCATGCAGTCATTTTATTGTTGACTCTTAGGCGCGGCATTGCCGCTATTATTGCGGCAGGTTATTAAGGTTTATACTTGTGAAATCATGTTCATGAGTATGTATGGTTTCGTAAGTGGCACCAAATGCTGAAGACCTAAAAACTGTCGTGATCAAGGGAGGTGGTTTTGATTGCTGATGAATTAGCTATTTCTAAAAGTTCAAAGGCATAGTACCCGATTAACTGTTTTCACAACACTACTTATTCATGTCTTGTTTGTCTCAGGTTGAACTCACGAGGATTGTTACAGCCCAGGTGAAGCTTCTATGTAAAGCTGAAGAGGAGCGCCTGGCTTCAACTGCTCTCAATGAGGAGCTTCCTCCTTATGATCAAGCCCGTGCTTTGGGAAAGACCAATATGGACGTTGATCGAATTGCTGCTGGGCTACCATGTGGTAGTGAGGGATTTCTTCTCATGTTCGCTCGATGGAAGAAGTTGGAACGGGACATCTACAACGAACGGAAGGAGTAAGTACACCAAGTTTGAGAAGGAATCAATTAGGCGTACAGTGGATTCCCTGGAAAAAATGGCCTTCGTGACAACATTGTGATGTTTTGTAGACAGATTTTTAGAATATCATGATCAGATTTTTCAAAGTATATTCATCAGTTTCAAGTTAGGTTTATAGTATTGCTTATTAACCAGATAAGACTCGTGTTTGGCTTGAATTAATTATCGAGGGAATTGATGGATGCAGTCGTTATGATATTAGCAAAGTTCCTGATATATACGACTCTGCCAAGTGAGCTTCTGTTCTGTTAACTCTTTCTGATCTTAAGAAATCTCGAGTTTCTATTGTATGGTATTGCTTGTCGCCTTTCTTTTGTTCTTTCAGCTAAACCTTTCTGTGTATTTCGTTGCTTCTTAAATATTCAAATCAATTTTCCTTACTGTAATTGAGTTGAGATCTTTTGTATCCAGGTACGATCTTCTGCATAATGCTCATCTAAAACTTCAGGATCTTGACGAACTTTACAAAGTGGCGAAGGTATTTTTTTTGACTTTGGTATTGTATCGGGAAGACATATGCCATGAAGCTGTGTATACGGATCAGTTTTTTTTGTTAGTTGGGAGAAAATACTGCATTTCTCGTTAATCCCTCAGTGCGTATCACCGTGCAATGCTTATCCATTTCAGGCTGTTTGGATGCTCTGGCTTGGAGGGAGTAGAAATTCTTTGGCTTTATAGAGTAAAATTCCTCCTTAACATTTGAATGGTTCATTTGGGTTTCAAGTGGCCAGCTAATTGTGCAATGGTTACGGAAATGAGTTTCTATGTGCTTAGGCCTGTATAAAAGTGCAGGTTAGATTGCAGACAAAATTTTGTTGTGCTGTAGTAATATGATGGTCATGTTTCAGAGGCTTGCGGATGGGGTCATTCCTAATGAATACGGAATCAATCCTCAACACAAACTGATTATAGGAGCTAAGGTATCCAATCAGCCTTTTGTGTCCTTTCCATGAGCAAGAGTTTGAGGTTTTGATGATCGTGTTGCACTGGATTGCACTTCGGCATCATTTCGCAATTGAGTTATTCCAGGAACATATTGTGTTCATTTACACCGTAACGGACTTACATACATGCTAGGTCTATTTGCAATTGCGTTGTGCGCTTCACATGGAGATGATAGTTACTAATGCTGGGACGATCTGTATGTCAGATTGCACGCCGTCTTCTAGGAAAGATACTTATCGACCTTCGAAACACTCGCGAGGAGGCCATTAGCGTAGCTGAGGTGAAGCAAAAGCTGGAATCGGCCGATGGTCTTTTACCAAGTAGACTTCATAAGAAACATGAAGGCAATCGAATCAGCGGTAAAGTCAGGGTTGCTGTTGATAGCTCGAGACAAACCTGCACAAACGAAGATGAAGATGATACTCAGTATCGATTGGACCCTAAGTATGGAACCTCATTTTCTTCTTCGTGTCGACAGAGCTTCTGAAAAATGAAACATCAATCTTCACCCAGAATAATACTTAAATTTTGTTTTTTTATCGTATACATTTGTGCTGATCATAGTGGATGCAATCATACTTCTACAGGTATGCCAATGTTAGAACACCTGAGAGGCATGTTCGAACTAGGTTATATTTCACTTCGGTAAGTTGCAACCACGTCGTGTAGTGATAAACTCATTTCAGTCTTTGAATAAGTTACCTCGTGCTAAACTTTGATCATTTAAGCAAAGTGGTTCCCTGCGGGTTTTAAAGTAGTGTCATCTCTCTTTTATCTACCCACTTAGTGTGAACGTCTGTGCAGGAATCACACATCCATTCATTAATCAATATTATCCGTTATTGCCACCTGGATGATTCTTTGAAAGGAGAAGCAGGTCTGGTTTCGGATGAAGACTTACAACGTATATTTGAAATCAAGGAGCTTGACTATTTGACTCACATTGTACTCCGAATGTACGAGAATACAGCAGTAAGTGTTGTTAACATATTTATCTTTGTATGACAAGCTTTGTTGTCAGGGCATACTTGAACTTGTTCAATAAAGTGAAGCATGCTCTTTTTTGATGATTTCTTTTATGATGAACTAGCACACATACTGTGAGAACTTTATTTTTGTGGATCTCGACCGGAGCATTTGAAATTTGAGTATTTTCTTGTCTTTAGGTGTCTTTGGAAGATTCACGAAGGTTCAGGATTGAGTTGATGTTCAGCACTGGAGCATCTTTAAGCCCTCTTGAGGTAAGTAGACATGTAGCTGCTGTGCGGGTTGAGGTTGGGTGATATTTGCAATTTCATATTTCTCTAGTTCGTTAACATATTTATTTTGATATGAACTGGGAGGCGATCTAAAACTTGGTTGGTATGGAGTGGCTGCAGGCAACTCCTCGTAATCGAGATCACACTCTACCTGTAATGCCTCCAGACACCTTGCAGGAAGAGGGTAGTTACGTTACTCTTGACCGTTTGGAAAAGTTGATGCGGCCATTTGCTATGCCAGCCGAAGATTTTCCTCCAGCCAGTAACCCACAGGGATTTTCTGGTTTATTTATGAAAGGTGGAGGAGTTCTGGATTGTCTTGTTAAGTTCTGGATTGTCTTGTTAAGTTCTGGCTTTATAACAAAACCTCAAAGTGGCATAAAGAACCTTAAACTCTCTCATAAAAACGTCAGAAGTGTCGATATTGTGGAATCTTTTCATAACGCTGAACTTGTTTGTCATTGTCGTACTTTGGAAAAGTAATCTCTGGAGCTAGTGAGGAGTTATTAGTCTTTTCTTAAGGTTGATGTCAAGGTGATTGGATAATACTTATATTTGTGTAGTAACTCCATGATATCCAATTCACGATTATTTTGGGAACAACCAAAAAAATATTTGAAAAAAGGAAATGCATAACTTTTTAAGTTATTGTATCGGAGGAATTGAATTGAAGACGCAGTAATGATAGCCAACTTCAGGTCATTAATCGTATGATGTGCAACTTTTATATTCTGCTGCAGGGAATTCTTAATTTGAACTTATTTAAACTGAGAGTCTTTAATACTGAACATTGTATGAATAAAAATTAATAGACTATATGTGAAGTCTGTACACTCACTTTAATTCTTACCAACTGCCATGCGCTAAAATGGCTTGTTGCTTGACTAGATTTCTTTTTTAAAACTTCATCATAACAAGATCCAGTATGTATCAGACATGACTTGTGTCATGATTTTTTGAAGAGAAAATATGCAGATTAGAATGTGTTGACATTTGGGAAATTTGGTATCGTAGATACTCCTTATTCAATGTTAAATGGACGCCAACTCTTATTTGTGCTTTGGTGCTAAGACTTTGTGTTGTGGAATTGGTACTGAAGGGGTTCGGCGTTGGTGGTTTTCAAGGCGGCAGTAGTTAAGGTCAAGGTATCATGGTGGTTCGCCTCTTTTGTACATTGTACTTGGGAGGATGGCAATTGAATGTTACAGCCATAACTGGAACACAGACGATCTTGAAATCTATTGCACCAATGCGAGTGTTTGGCAATGGTGAGCTCTTCAGATGTAGTTGGTGTCGAGTGCAGCTCGAATGGTTTTCAGCTTGAATTTTCTTAGTGCAATGGATCAAGGTTGACAGGTTTCATTTAAGGGCGCGTTCTGTTTCTTTCCCTGATAATGGTTATGCAGTAGTGGATTTGGAATTCAGTAAAGCTATAGGGGTTTTGGAATCGTATCATAAATAGTACCCACAGGTTCAGGTCGCGACAGTGTAGGGCTCTTATTGAGAAGAGACACATCGGTACCGTGATGAATCTTATTTCGGGGGTATTTTTGTTTGCTTGGTGCAATTATTGTATTACACTTTGGTAATGTTCAATAGTGCTTTTTCCTACACACCAGATCACTGATAGATCGTGTAAATATGATGTGAAATTTTGCTTATATTTTTTTTCCGTCTTGGTAATAAGGTGAAGATTGTGAAATTTTATGGTTAAGATTATTCATTATGCCTGTGCCTGTGGCAATCATGTCCTTCGTACCTTGACCTGAGTTAAGGGTCTCTGTTGTATTCGTCTCAGAAAGAGTCAGATTGCTTTTGAAAAGCTCTGAGAATATTCAGCACCCAAGACTGCTTAAGTAGGGTGAGAATGGTTCTACACCAAGAAGCTGGTAACTGTGTTGCTTCATTCTCAGTGCATGGTTACCACCTCAAACAGACCAGTTGATCTGCATAGATGTGTTGTAACACAGTGCTGGAAGAAAAACCTCATTAATGACCCAAGAACAAGTGACTGGTGACAGGCATTGGCACACCAAACTCTGCTCTCTGAATCTTTGGTTGGGAAGGGATCTAATGATTTTTCAACTCAGAAGAGTCTGAAAAACATTTTGTACAAGGGGTGAGGTTATGTAGCGACGGTGTCTGAAATGCAAACTTAGAGTAAACGAACAAAGAAGAGGATGCTTTCTAATTTAATATGTAAACCCCACCAATGCATTATAATCTATGGTTTATTTTACATAAAATTTTAATTTTGTAAAATACATATATACTAGCTTGTGGGATTTATTTAATTTTTTAAGCATTTATATAGACTTGTAAGGTTTTTAAAATCATAAGATTCTTATAGATCGATAAATATCAAGGATAAAATCTTATAAAGTTTTGGAAGCAATTGTCTTAGTTAATTTAGTTTTTTGTGTTTTTTCTTATTATGAAATTTTGACTTAATTCTTAGGACTCATTTATAAAATGATGTATTTATATACTTTTGCCTTACAAGAATTTTATACATAATAACTATTCGGTAGAAAAAGCATAAAATAACATATCATAGATTTTTTAATAACTTATGAAATTAATTTTTTTTAATAATTTAAATTATTATTATAAAAATCTATAAAATAAAATAAATATTACTGAGATGTAAATAAGCCTCACTTAATGTCCTAATCTTATAAACATTAAAACATATTAGGAATTTATTTTAAATCTTTTAATAAATTTTAAAATAGATTTTTAAATATTTTTATAAATAAATTTATCAACTTTTTAGAGCCTATTCTAAAGAATCAAAATAAGATTTTAAATTCTTTATGAGTTAAAGGGCTAATAAAAATATTTTAAAATATCAAAATAAAATCAAATTTACAAAAAACATCATTTTGCTAAGACAAATTTTCATGACTAACAACTAGTAGAAATCTAGGTATACTTATCTCATATAGGTTATAGTACCTTAGAAGTAAGTACAAGGATAAGACTAAAGCTTAAAGGCCCTTCTAAGACACCTTTTATAAGCTTTATTGAGGCTTGACCGCTTAACTATTTGATTTTTAAAAAATTATCAATATTCTTAAAATTATATGGTTGATTTTTTTTAAATTAAAAATATATTTCTACTTCATTTTTTATTTTTTTTAAGTGTCTAAATTTATAAAAATTAATATCTTAAATTTATTTTTTAAATTGTAGTATATACAATGGCGTTTTTTAAATGAGTTGTTCTTTGAAACTATGCTTTCATGCAAAATATCTTTATTTATTTTTAATGCTGTAGGATTTAACCCTATCCAAGTTTCTATCAATTAGGATTAAAATTTTACAATTGGAATTCAACGTTGATGTCAATCTACCAACCACAATAGCTTCTTATTGAATTGTTCACTTGCCTTCAAAATTGGCAAAGATATTTCAAAAGAAGTTTAATATGTGCTTACAAAAAATTATTTCAATCCAACCAATAAATTTATTTAGATCAAATAAATTCTTACTAACCCTTAAAATCAAAACTCTAAGATCAAAATGCAATTGAATTATAATAACCTTTTATCTAACAATTTAATTAAACTCAAATTTAAAAAATAAATTTTACAACAAGTAGATTTATAAAAGTTTAAATATTTATCCATTAATCTATTACTATTCTCACAATATTCTCAAAAATATTAATCCTTTTTAATTTCTTAATATTCCAAATCTTTTACAAAGTTAATATTAATCCAAATTACACACAACTAATGCTTAAAAATCTCTTAAACTTGCTTTTCAATCAACAAGACAACCTTGTAATTGTTGTAGGTGTGCAATTTTGTACCTTAAGATATGATTTCGACCCATGTTCACAACAAGTTTTCTCCAAATATCAATATTTAGTTTTTTGAAATAATTTTTACTAGAATTTATTATTTATTTCTATCCAAAGATAATTATAATATTATTTTTGCTAATCTATTTTTTTTTCTTTGTTTATGGCCCTACATAGAGAGTAGAGCCACTTTTTGTAGAGGGGTAATATTAACACTAAATGTTTTTACTACTTTCCTATCTTTTACATATACTCTGCTACTAAATTTTTTAATTAAGTGCTTCTATATTATATTTTCATAATTAATGTGATTACAAAAGGACAAACATGATGGGTCAAAATGTAATGCAGTGTAGCAGGTTTATGCAAAAAATGAAGGAGCATATACAAAGTATGGTCCAAGGAGACTTAGTAATGCTAACAGTAATAGAATAAATACCACATGATCAAAGGTGTGAATGTTAGTGGAAGCATACATGGGAAGGAGAAAGAGGGATTAAATGTACAACAATGAGAGAGTGAGTGAGGAAAGTCGAGGCAACAATTTTGTTGGGTTGGGTGGAAATGCAACAATCCCAACATCTACCATCAATCTTACTATGCTTCTTCATCTGGTCTTGCGGCTTTGACAACTTTCAAGATGCCCCTCCTCCCTATTTCTAATCCTATCCCTACTCTGCTATGCACTACTGTGCCCTCATCCTCCCTCTCTGCTTCTTTTCTTTTCTTTCTTCTTTATTCCATATGACTCTTGCCACCCCTTCTCTTCTCTATGCCTGGAATCTATATGCATGCCCATGTGACATTACTCTTGTTGGTACAAGAAATGACATTGCTGAAGTAGTCAACAAAGATTGTTGTGTTTCAATTGATTCTTCCAAAAAATAAGTTGTTTAAATCCGGTTGGATTAAGGACTAGTATGGTGAAGGTATAGTGAATTAGATGGATTGTAGCATGAGAGCAAGTATTTGAAAATAGCATCTTCAAAGCCTAGTTGACCTTATAGCTGAGATCACAAAAAGATTTTGTGGATAGTTTAGATATATAGTAGATTGGTTTGCATGCATTTGTTAATAAGGATTTGTATCTCAGCTTGGGTTGTAGAGTGACATGGCTTGCTAAACTATAGGGTAGGTGGAGTATTGGTTCTATACATTGCTTTTGTTAAAGCAAGTAGTGGCATTGCCAGAGTAGTCAACAGAGCTTGTTGTGTCATGGCTAGTTCTTCTAGAAAATAGATAGTTGTGTGAACTAGATTGAATTAGGGAGTGCTCTAATGAGGGCATAATGGATTAGCTAGATTATAGCATGAACATGGATACATGAAAATAGTTTGAGCAAGGTTGATTAGTTACTTTTTGAAGTGTTTTGTTTTATATTTGTATTTATTACTCAAAGTAAAAAATAATTACTATATTTTTATAATTAAAAATTGAAAGTATATTATATTAAAAGATAATAAAATTAATTTTTAAGTAGAATTTGAATAAAAATGAAAAAAACTAAATATCTTTATAAAATAGAAATTTTTATATTATAATAAAAATAATCAATTTTTTTATATCATATTTAATTATATTTCGACTTATATATATTAATAAAATATCTAATGATTAAATGCATTATATTGATTTTATGATCAAAATGAAGGATTTTAATACTCTATTAAGATTATATATAAATATAGATTAAAGAATTATTTGTAAGATATACATTAATGGTTATGGAATATTTAATTGGTTGTGGATGCAATTTCTATATTATATTAAAAAAAAAAAAAAAAAAAAAAAAAAATGGAAGGATGTGTTTATACTTGACGGTTGAACTCTATAGAAAAATGAACATACATAGGTATAGGTATAAAGGTTTTGAATTGATGTAAAAAGTGATATTTTATTTTTTAAAAATTATATATTTTTCATGAAAAATTAGGAACTGCAAGAGTGGAGTAAGGAGTCAATATAATAAGTACTATTAGATCATTAAAATTTATATATTATTTCTTTAATTAATAATAATAGTACATATAATTTGAAAGTTGAAATTTGAAATGAAAGAGGTATATAAGAGTGTAGGTGAAATTGAGTGAAATGAAAAAATAAGTCTTATTTATGATATATTTGGAAGAATATTAAAGTTACAAAGAACATAAGGTAGTTAAAAGTTATTTGTTAAAAAAATTCCAACAAAGATTTTTATTTGAATTGATTAGTTATACCAAAAATATAATTTGGTTGGATATTTTTTAGATCTTGAGTTGGTTTTTTATTCAATCAAAAGGAGGTAGGTTTAAGGTTTAGAGTCTAGGTTTTAAGAAAATTTTACATTATAATGTTACATTATAATGTTACATTATTATTAAAAACTTAAAAACTATGTTTGTATTTTGTTTTTGTTTTTTTTTTTCGATCAAATTTTATAAATTAGATGTTATTAAGTAAAAGTTATCTAAGATTTGGGATTATAATTTAAGCTTAGTAGTTTTTACATTAAATTTATTGGTTGAAACCATGTTATTAAAATACATAAAGAAATGAAGTGTTGATTCTATGATTATTTGAGATTGATGATTTAGTTTTTGAATTATAAACTTAATTTGTAGGATACAAAATTATATGGTTTGTGGAACAATGTGGAATTCAAAAAAATCTAATATATAGTTTTCTAGAAGTATTGAAGAGATAAAATTAGAAAAAAAATTTATCAATTTATCATGGATTATTTATTAGAATTAACTAGATAATCTATATTATAATTTTAATAGAAAGAATATGTATTAGAGTATATATATATTTTAAATTATTTTATGAATATTTAAGAATTATGTATTATTACTAATATTAGTATAATTTTCTACATATAATGCCAATATAAAAAAATTATTGCATTAGCTCTCATTTAATATTGTTAGAATCTACTACATCTTAACAAAAACTATTTTGAATAAGAAAATGGTTAAATTGTTTATACCACATATCCAAATCTTATTTTAATTTGTATACACATTTTAATAACTTACAAACTTTATGTAGAAATTGAGGATCAATATAATCTTCTAATTAAGCCATATAAAATTTTTATTCAGGTGACCATAAAGAAATACAATCTTAACATCTATTTGATGAACATATAGATCATATATTGGTGCTAGGGATAATAAAATATATAAAAAACTTAATTTTACCACAAAAAAATATTAATGTATAGTCAATATCTTTTTCTTGTGAAAAACCCTAACAACCAATATGACTTTATAATTGATGATTATTCTACTAGCATTAAATTTTATTTTCAAAGTCCATTTGTAATTTACTATAGAATATCCTAAAAGAAGATTTTCTAAAATCCATGTATAATCCTTAATTAAATAAACATATTCAGCATCTATTTTTTTTTTTCCTTGATAGAATGTTCACCATTTAAATCTTTTATAATTATAGAAATTTATCAATATTAGATAAAGTAGATAGATGATTTGTAAATAAGATATGATCACAATATTTGTTTGATAATTTTTCTATTGTTGATCTTCAAGACCTTTTAGATTGAATAAATGATAGAAACCTCAAATTTTTTAAATATACATCATTAATTATATTTAATAAAGGATTTTTTGAGATAATTTAATAACTCAAAAAATATGTCTATGTTGTAATTTACTTTGAATACTAGTGTCATTAGAAGACATAAAATCATTAGACAATGTTGATTATAAGTAAATATCATGATGTTTAGGTTGAATAGAAATATTATTTGAGGATTCTTATAAGGAGACAATATTTTGTGTATTAGATACTTCAAATTGTATTTCAATCAAAGCATCAATAGAGCTTTTTTTTATCATCATTTTCTTTTTGTATTGATTTATTTTTTAAATAAATGAATCTTTTCATACAATGATTTTATCAAAAATGATAATTTGATTAAGATTTTATTTATGTATTTATTTATTTTTATCATATAATAGATAATCCTTTATGCCTTTCAATTTATCATAGCCAAGAAGAATATAGAGTTTTATCTTTGAAAAATGAGTTTTAATGTTGTTTTTCAACCAAACAACTTTCGCACAAGGAAAGATGTGATATATTTATTGGTATATTCATTTTAAGCTTACTTATTTCTTTCAATATATATTGATTGAAATGCCCTAAACAATGATACCATATAAGAGTTTATTTTATAGGTGATTAATTAAATATGAATAAATTTGATTGTTTGAAGTCAAGAATTTCAACTTCTAATAGATAGAGATTTCAAATTCAGATAATTCTTATAAAAAGATATTTTCTATATTCAGAATATTTTTTTAATTATAATAATTATAAAAGAATTTAATGCTTTTATATTAAGCAATGGCTAAACATATGGGCAATAAAGTTTTAGGTAATGTAGATATATATAAAACTTCTTAGATTTTTTTTTTTTTACTATTTTTTAATTAATTTATACTTTCCTTTTGTCAATAATTTTATGCTTTCTATTATCTTCTATATAGATAGTTAAGAGATTTAAAATCTGATATAATGTAAACCACTCTTTGATTTGATGCAAGAATTCTGCAATTAAGTCATTTATATTTTGTTTTGCTACAATAATGACATATTAATAGTTTAAAGAAATTTGTTTGCTTAGCAACTTGTGTTCCATTTGGTTCATTTGTTAAAATATTGTTGTTAAATTTATGATTATTCAAAAGATTTTTCATTCAATTATTTGTTTTGTGTTGATTTCTTGCCAAAAAAGCTCTTGACTTAATGTCCCATTCGAACTTTTTTTTAGAATCTTCATATTTCTACTTCTTCTAAAATTCTTGAAATCTAATTAGAAATAGCTTTATTTATATGAAAATCTTATAATGCAACAAAAGTCCTCTATAAAAAAAAACATGACTTCCAAATAATTGTACATATTGTTGTTCTTCATAAAAAAACAATTCTTTATACTGAAACTTCTTCAAGAATTCCTTAAAATTCTTAAATGAATTCTACTATGGATGTTTTGTCACTCATTTAACTAATTGAGTTTTGTGATGTGACTTGTGTTGAAAGATCACATTGTTTATATGTAGATGCTAACTTATTCGACACTTTCTTAAAAGTTGTAAGAGATTTTACCAAGCCGACTTGTTAATCACCACACTGTAATATAATATCTGCTCTTGCTTTAGCATCTTTAATTTTCCATGCATTTTGTAACACAAGATTTGCAGAACCTCGATTAAGTTCTATTGCATTTACCACAGAGATAAAGATATTTAAAACAAGAATCATTTCTATTTTAACACTCCATAAATTATAATTGGTAGATGATAATTTCTCTACCAAATATGTCTTATGAATCAAATTTGAAGAAGCCATAATTGATTAATTTTTAGTTGGACAAATAATCAATATGTATGATACAGACTTTTATTATTGCTTCTAAAAAATTTAAGTTAATTATGAAATGGAATCATATTTATCGCTCTAATACCATGTGAAAAGAGGAGAAGGGCAGAAAGTCATATAGGATTGTAATAATCTAAATATAAAGGTTACTTACTAACAGGGTAGCAGAGCCCATCTCGATCGGCGAGTCGTCGGCTGCTCGCAGCTTCAGGCATTTCACGGCTCGATCGAAGCGACGGAACGGGCGCATGGCGATGGTGGGATTCTTCTCGCTGCTGGTGACGGAGATGTCCACCCACAACCGCCATCTTCAACTAGATTTGCTGGACGCAGTTGCGACACCCGATGCCACCACAGCGGTGGCTTGCGGGTGTGTGTGTACGTAGGAGCGTAACTTGGGAAGGACCTGGTAGACCATCAGTCGGCTGTCAGATGAGTCCACGCGGAAATGAGTGAGATCGGGTAGCGATGAACTCAAGTGTAATTTTGAAGATGGGTAGATGTAGTGAGTTCGGGTTCGAGACATGTGTGCATGCGAGGATGCATTGTAGAACTTGGATTGTTCCTGACACAATTTTGAGATGTGCTGTCCATCTTCAAGAGAGTAGCACTACGGGGGAGTAGCACATTCAGCTATCAAAAAGGACTCCGGAAATGCAGTTAGTTCGACGAATTGTCGTTGATGTTTTTGATGGGAAGTTGACCTTATCATTTAGTCTAAGAGGATATTGGCTATTTTCATCTGAGCTTTTATACAACGTTTGACGTTCGAAGTGGTTTACCTGCAGTTTTCCAGTAACGTGTTGTAGGAAGTTTGAATTAGTTAGTAACTAAGAAGGATAGTACGGGTCGTTATGTGTGTTACAGATGAAGGAGAAGATATGCCGATGTTGAAATGTTGTTTTATGAAGGTGTTGAATGCACCATTTGTATGCCTTCTAATTCTGTACATGTAGCAGACAAGTTTGACGAAATGTAAGTGGTGACAATACTGTGTCATTGGCGTGTGTCAAATGCCCGAACATTTTATGTTACGGAGATCTTGTATGAATAGTTAGTCAGGACTTGCATGGTGTGAAAATTTACTTGGAAATCTACAGCACAGCCTTGCTTCTTTGAACACAGCGGTTATGAAACGATTTCTTTTTAAAAGAAAATTTGAAAATTTTCCACCGCGCATTGGTGCTTAGCTAAAACTATAGTTGTTTAAAAGTATTGTTTCTTAGAGCTTACCGAAAGGTTGTGAGCACGTACTAAATTACAATTCACAAGCTGGCAAATACTTTCTCATTTCACTTCGTTTGTCTAACGACTTCCACCAAGCAAGCACAATTCGCACTGCATACCGATTAGTCCAGGTTATAAATGAATCTTCGGAACCTCGCACATCACATCATTTTCAAAAGATATGGATTAAAAACAGAGCAAGCTCAGTTACTTCTGTCATGATTGTACAACTCTAGTCAGACGACTGACAGCTCTCCAGCTAAGGTACTTCCTGGAAAAACATTAGAAGTTGAAGCATCAAAGTGAGTTCCCGAATTGGGCAATTTATTAATATAAGCCAAGTTCAGAAAAATAACAGATCTCTTTTTAGACCAGAGACATATGAGGTGAACACAGAACCATTTCCGATGCAAAGCACCAGATAACCTATTCACTAATTCAATCTTGCTTTACAAGCACAATGACCTACGCCAGGCAGACATGATCGTTATGAAGTATAATACCAGAGATGTCACCAACACAGGGGTTACTCTTGGCAACACAGAAGACTTTAAGACATGTTTCAAAATCTAATATGCGCCCGCTACATACAAAAATTCATACATCGGTGAGTAAACGGAACATCTGGGTAACAATAGAGAACTGTACACAACCTCTTACATGTGTAAACCTTCCTTGCCGCCATCACACATATTCCAATCGGTGAGGCGACATTTATCTCCTACTAAGATACACACCCAACTCTCAGGAAACGGAGAGGGTGACATGAGCATGCGCGAGACCTCTCAAAATCAGTGGTATTTTTCTCACTCCCACGTTCCATAGGAAAACCAGAAGTCCTATACCAGGATAAAAGCTGAGAAAATAATTCATAACAGAGAATCAGCTGACACTAGAGCAGAAATCTTCAATATCCAGCCAATGAAATCCGGACTCTGTTATAAACAGCCCTCATCTAAAAGGCTATCCGAGATTGCCTAGAAGCCGCTCAACAGCAGCATGAATATTTCCACCCACAGCACTAAGTGCCCGAATATTCTCCTGAGTATCAAAAAATCCCATTTCTTGCAACTGAGACAGCTGCGAGGCGTACATCTGTTCAGGAGGCGCTGCACTCGCAATATGTAAGCAATTAGAAAAAAATAACTACCAGAGGCAGCCAATTCAACGGTCACAAACCATAATTAATGCTAATAACCATATTAAACACAAAATCTTTGACTACATTGAAATACTCTTCCTTTGAAGAACTTTTCTCATATAATTAAAGAGAGCCTACTTACCATCAGGGTTGGAAGGAGCGGTGCTGCCAAGACTTCCAAACATATTGAGTAATGCATCCATATTCATTCCACCGCCCATTCCAGCCAAACCACCCAACCCAGCTGGATTTTGACCAACGTTTCTGCAAAGCAGAGAATGAAGCTGACTAAGAAAGGTTTGCCGCGAAGAATGAACACAATTGAGCGTTGACAGCAAGATATAATACTAATTCAGCTCAGGAAACCTAATAACTAAAACTACATTGTTAATCGCAAAATACAGACTGCCTAACCTGATGTTTGTGGCCATATCATATTCTCTTCACCTCACTTGGAGTGATACAACTTATAACTAAATCCACATGTTAAGTATGTGCTCAAAATGAAACTACTTTTCCATACTGCAAATTTTTAAAATACTCACTAGCTGACATTTACATTATATTAGTATGGAAAATAGCTTGATCATGTAAGAAACCTAGTACAATTATTGCAAAGTATCAATCATGGTGCCCATTATCACATTGTTACTCATCAGGTCAAAGAGGTTAAACGACATACTGGCCAGGAGTTTGTCGTCCATGTTGACCCATCATGGCTTGCTGAAGTTGCATCAGTTGCTGTATCATTTGAACATTGCATTGTCCACCCAGTTTATATAAATACAACCAAGTTTGAGTTTGAGTTTCAAAACAAACAACTATTATGCTCGATGCAAATACTCCAACTCATCTCCCAGTTGCAGCGATGCTGGCGAGCATACATATCTAGTAATCTAATGAAACTATGATGATGGGCATTCCCTACCGGATGAGGAGCAGGAAACGTACCTGTAAGTTCTCAGGACTGCTCATTTGTCGAATGAAATCGGGATTCTGCATCATGTCCCTAAATTGAGGATTCTGGTTCAGAAATGTCTGTAGCTGAGGCTGCATGTTCATTATCTGTTTAAAGAACCCGCAAGCACACATCAGTGCCAGGTCGCCAAGACTCTTAACATATCATACACAACATTGACAATCTAAACTTGCAACAGCCAGCTCTCGTTCACCAGTGTAAAACGTTGCCATGAAAAAAACATTTAAATGAGACGACAGTTACTGGTACAAGAATTGTGAACAACGAAATGATCCAACTGCCCTGAGTATCTCCGAAAATTAGCACTGAAGTGATTTCGAGGAGAATCAGTTATTGAAAAAAAAAAAACAAAACAAAACAAAACAAAAAACAAAAAACAAAACAAAACAAAACAAAAAACAAATGCCACCAACCTCCCAAATCGGGCACATTTCTGAGCAATCTAGTCAATCAACTTACAGTTTAATACCAAAATGACAAGGCAAATCATTAGTAGATATCAAATGGTAGAGAGAACTTACCTGATTCATATATTGAGGATTGGACAAAATTCCTTGCATCATCTGCTGCATTTGAGGATTCTGAAGCATCTGCTGCATAAAACCAGGATCCATAAGCCCTCCAGCACCTCCCATCATCCCAAGATCTTGAAGGCCAAGTCCCGCGAGGCCGCCCAAATCTGGGATACCTCCCCCTGTACCTGGTACAGCGGATGGTGTCTGACCTGCTCTAGCTGCTGCAAGCAAACCCAGGTGTATAGTTAGTTGATGAATGACATCTGTCAATAAACCGATAGCTTCAATGCGAGTGCCAGGCAGCAAGGGGGGTAACCAACTTCTTAACACTGTTTGGGACCTGTAAGTAGTGGTTCCTTTAAAATAGTAAAATCACAGCAGAATCGTGAGGAATTAATCTACAAAGACTCCAGACCACAAACATGCACTACTACCGCTGTACTCACGTGTAGGACCCCAGGGGTTCGGCAGAGGAGCAGTATTCGGTACTGCTGTCGCAGCACCCGTGCTATAAGCTCCACCTTGAGCCTGGGCTGGACGCTGTGCATTCCCATTCATCTCCATCATGGCTGCAAACGGATTCGATGCCATGTCATTTGCACCTTCTCCGCCCATGGCTGCAGCATTCAAGAGCGGCTCCTGAACGGTTTCATACATGCGCCTCAGCATATTAAATCCTTCGGGCGAAGCTTCGATGTTACTCATGGCCCGATCTGTATTTCTCATCATTTCTCGCATAAGTTCAGGATTCCGAGCAGCGTCTAAAGTCTGCCGAAGTGTGCCAGGATCATTCAGAATATGAGCCAAATCTGGATTCCTGTCGATGATCTCCCTCATTTGGGGATTACTCATTATTAGCAATCGCATTAGTTCAGGGTTACTCATTAGGTTCTGAACCGCAGGTGCATTCATCATCTCCCTCATTAGGTTGGGGTTTTGCATAAGCTGCTGCTGCACCTGCTGAAATTCTGAGGGTCCCATTCCAAAGGGCGGGGAAGCTCCACCATCTGAACCCAATCCTAAACCAGAAAATCCCATGCCACCTAAACCTGGCATGGACCCTAAACCTGAAGGATTTGCTGGATGTGGCGTGGACGTCGGGTTAGGCGCCGGACTGGGGCTGTCGGCACCAGCAGATGTGGATGATGTTGGTGCTCCTCTGACTAAATGAACTGTATGATCACTTTGCAGACCTGATCCATAACACAAGTGCGTCAAAAATGCAATTTGGAACGACGATTGAACTTCGGGAATTGCATCCCATGTAAATATATTGAAGCTGTGCAAACCCCCCACTTCCTAGTAGTGTGACACGCAAGATCATCACAATCCCTAGAGCAGTTGACTACACATTCTTGACTCACGTGTATGTAGGCTCTAAACAAGCAGTTCCGACAATAAGACCACAATAGATTCAATAGTGAAGCTCCACAGACCATGATCATAAAACCGCTTCAAACAAACATCTCTTCATGAATTATTATAAATAAATAAATAAATGTATTGACAAATCAGCATCATCAAAAGCGAGAAGGGTTGATGATCTGTAACATAATTTCCATCCCTGCAATTAAGCACTATTCCCTCACTTACAGCAGACAAAACAATCATCCAAAAGACCATCAAAGTGCGAGCCCTGCTTTTTATCCTGGAGAGACTGCCAATCATTCATCCTACCAGAACAGACCCCATGTGTATCAAAACAAACCCCGGTGACAGACATCAACCTCACAAACCATGCCCTAAAATGACCAACGGATGTCTCTACCACCCAAAGAGACACCGAATGTTTGCACTCTCCCAGTCAGCACGAACCCTAACTTAAAAATCGAACCCCTGACCACAACCCAAAACAACTACACCAATGTAAAAATTTAAATAACAATCGAGGTAAGCCAATCAATCCACTATTCATGCACCCACCATAGCTACTGAGCGTTTGCTCGTCCTTGAGCACCCGACCCTTGTAGATCAACCGCTGATGGTCCGCCGGAATCTCAGACTTCTCCACCAACAAGCCCTTCAACGCCAATACGGTGGCACCCAAATTCACTTCTACCGTAAACTTGTTGCCATTCGAGGAGCGCACATGCACCACTACTACGTCGCTGCTGCTCCCTCCTTGACTAGAATCCGCACCTGCTACTGCGCCATCCGGCTCTCCTCCCATCTCTACTCCCAAAATCAATTCCACCAACGACCCACCCCACAAAAAACAAACAAACAAACTACAGTCCCCCTCCTTCTCCTTCTACGTCACTGTCACGACCTCTCTTGTAGCCACCCCAACACAAATACCTGTTAACTCTCGCTTTCCAACTCTCAAACCTAAGATACAAAATCACCAGCGCACTACACTGGCACCAAAGAAGAATAAGAAAATTGGATTCAATTGTGGGTTAGGGTAGATTGCAAAGCCAGGCGTGATCTGCACGGATCACCGAAATAAAACGAAACAAAAACAAAAAACAAAACGCAACAACAATCAATTGACAATTGGGTAACAAACAGCATAGATGATAATACAATGCTTGAGATGCCTGCCTATCATCATCATCATCGCTGCCACATGGATACAAACTCAACACAACACAACACAACACAATCCAGCAAAGCAAAAGCAAAAGCAAGCAAACACTCTCGCACGCACGCTGCAACATCCTCCGCCCGGCTTCCTTCGCTTCATCCATCCACACAATCATCCGATAATTCATTTATGGTTTATTCATCTACCTACATTCATCGCAAGCGTAACAGTTTCTGGATGACGTCCCGTTTCGGTTTCTTTAATGGATTGTAAATATAAAGCGGTGGCCAGCGGATGTAGAAGTGGCTGGATGGCTGCGTGGATGAATGATGTTTCAGGATGATGGATTCGAACTCGCGCGGGCTGGTTCGGTGCTCACGCTGTCGGACCTTGTGACGTGCAGCGGACGAATAATGAACGAACATCCGTTAGATGCCATTCTGGATGGATGGGTGGATGGATGGGTGGATGGATGGGTGGATGGATGGGTGGATGGATGGGTGGATGGATGGGTGGATGGATGGGTGGATGGATGGGTGGATGGATGGGTGGATGGATGGGTGGATGGATGGTGGATGGATGGTGGATGGATGGGTGGATGGATGGGTGGATGGATGGGTGGATGGATGGGTGGATGGATGGGTGGATGGATGATTGTGTTTTTTCTGTACATCCAAGAATGAGGGCTGTAAACCATTAAGTTTAGGCCTCCGTGTCACATTCCATGGCAATGCAATGCAAATGCAAAAGGAATGTGGAGACTGTTCTTACAAATTGCATAAAAATATAAAAAATATCAAATATTTAATAGAAAGATAATTATAATAATAGAAATATAAATATTCAAAATACACCTAATTAGGTTTTATTTGAATAATCTGAAAATTGATATTTTAATTTTAAACTCAGTTCAAGTTATATAAATGTGTATACGTATATGATATGAATAATTATATTTTTTGTTGCAAATAATTCATTTTTGTAAATTCCTTAGAGTTTTCTTATTTTTTGTTTTGAAATGAAGTGGTTTATAACAAGAACAGTCTTACAAATCATATCTTCCTTGTAAACTGCAAGGATTCTCTATAGATTATATTTGCTATCTTCTCCAGAATTCTGTCTATTTGGAGAGGTTTTAGTGGACTATGTATTACCATGGCACCAACATCAAACAATAAAATTTCCAAAAAAAATAATTTAAATCTTTGTGTAGTCTTTGCATTTGTAAGGTTGTTATAAATTACTTGATGCTTTATTAAAGTCTCATCCAGATTATTTTTTAACAAAATACTATCATTTAGTGGAAGCAATTTCTGAGAGTTTTAACAAAATTTTGAAAGTCATGTAAAATTCATAAGCTAATTTCTTGTCTTTGAACTATGGCATGAAATATAACTATTATAAAAAATTCATTTACTATGTATATTTTATTAAAATTCAAACTTAATATATTTTATATGGAGTCATCCTATTTAGACGAGACTGATATTATGTTGGCAATAGAACAATGGTAAACTCTTTATTTCTAACCACAAAAACCATCGAGACATTTTGTCACTATTCTTATTTATACATGAATTACGTTTGAACTTGATTTTTGTTTTTTTAAAGTGTATATCTTATTATTTTTTCTATAAAAATTTTCAAAATATTTAAACTTTATTTTTTTATTCAGTGTTATATTTTAATCTCTTCAATCGTTCAATCACAATTGTGTTTATGCCCATAGTCACATTATGAGTCAATGCAACTCCAGTTTGGAGCTACTCAATCAAGCTTGATTGGGTGTTAAGAATTATAAAGATTTACAAAAAGGAAAGACATTTATTTAAACATGGCCAAAATAGCATTGTAATTATCATGTGCTTATGTTGGAAACAAACTTTTAAACTTGGGTTTGATGTATATTTTACAGAAAGAATTTTGTGCTTTGGCATACAGTAAAATAACTTATGGGTTTCATTGTAAAAGTTAAAAATATGAGATTTGATCTTTAAAAAAAAACTTTGTGAACCTTTAAATGTTGTTAGTTTTAAGTTTACAGTTATACAACTAAAAAAATATTTATTAAAGATATAATATAATAGAATTTTAACATAATTACTGCAATAAAAATTATTTTTCTTGTAAAAAATTAATGTCAAAATATATTTATTAACACTAGTAGAAACATTGCTTGTCTTTTGGTTTATTTGTCTAAATATTGTAAAAAAATACCCCTTTCTTGTTCTTTTTTCTTTTTTCTTTTTTCTTTTTATTTACCATTTAAAAAAAAGTAAAAAGTGTTTTGCTACTAAAAAAGTAACATATATATATATATATATATATATATATTCATTCTTCTTATCTTTGTTGAAATCTTAGTAATTAAAAAATTCAGGCATTAAATGACACTGAAGCCACTTATTTGTTCCTTCTCATGCCAACTATCTACCAGAACAACAACCTAAAACGACTTATCAATGTTCAAAAGAAGTCAGCTAATTATTCATTTCTCTGTCAATGCAAATTGAAACACCACACTACCATTCTCGTGCTCACTTTACATTCCAATCTATTACATAAAATATTTTTTATAGTTTATTATTGAAAACTGTTTGCAAACATGGAGCACTGTTTTTTATTTTTTATATTTTTATTTTATTTTTTTATTTCATTTTATTTTATATTTAATGATGTGACCTTTCATGGCTACAATTTCCCAAGCATCATTTGAATACATGCTTGGTTGTCATCAAAAAATGTTTTGTATTTCTATGATTCAATAACATCCTAAAATTGAGCAGGCATATCTCTTGTTTTTGTTGTCATTTACTTCTTCTGTCTCTATTCTTTGTTGGTTTATCCTTTTATTATAGTTATATACTATTGTGAATGTAAAGACAACTTTAAACCTTCTAGACTATTCTTTGGATGAATGTTCATGTGTTTGTGTCAAAGTCGATTTTTTCTTTCTCCATGGGGCCTCACACCCTCCTATGCTTCCAAGTGTGCTCAACCTTGACACTTAGAATGTGGATACAAGTTTTGAACAATGTACCCTTCCAATGATAAACTGATATACAAAAGTAGAAAGGGTATCTTTTTTGTGTACCTCCTTCAGATTCCAACACCCACACATGGGGGCCTACACAACCCTAACAAAAGGAAGAAGCAGAAGAAAAAGACGAAAAAACCAAGCAAGCAATGTGTTGGCTTCAAACAAAGATTCCCAAAGGAATGATGCAGTGTATTCTAATTGAGCTGCCACAATGAAGAAAGTGGGGAGTCTCTCTCTCCTAAACCATAGGCATTAGATTTTTAGGGTTTGCTCATCCATACTCTAAACTGGGCTTGCAAACAAAACTAGACTGCATGCTCCACCATATCTTTGGTGGCAGGGTTTGGTCTTGGGTGCTGAGCCATTGTCTTGGGAATGTTGACTGGAAGTGGCCAATGCCATAGCCAGTCCATCAAGGAGTTGACTTCTTCTTTCTTTGTATATTTTATCTATAATTATTTTCCTTTATTATTATTGTCATTGTTGTATTTGGAAATACCTATGCATTTAGCAACCTCCTTAGAATGCAACAATGTTTGGGGATCCATTCTCCACATCCTGACTTCATTTTCTGCCCATTGTTCTGTTGCATTTATTCCACATGCATCATATTCCTCTACCATGCGTTTGTATGTTTGTTTATTTATTTATTTACCTATATTCCAAGTTGGAGAGTGGAGAGTTTGGTTACTGAACACTTGGAACTTGTTGATATTTTTGTGAAAAAGACTCATGAGATACTTGAAAGGAACATACATACATGAAAACATACATGTGAAAACTATGAGGAAATAAATAGATAAAAATGGGGCTAAATGATTGTTTGAAAGATAAAGAAGAAGAAAAAAAAGAAAAAAGAAAATCTTTATGCATTCTTTTATTATTTATTTGTCCTATGTAGATATTACATGTATACGTGTATGCAAAGAAACACATATGATTCCATGAAAAAAAATATCACAACAAAAATAGAGATAGACAGGAGCAAACAAGCATGAAAACCAAACTGACTGTACTGTTCTAATCTATTAAAAAAAGTTGTACATTAAAGCGGTTTTTTTATTAACCTCACATGCCAATACCTCAAATCAAGATTTCAACCTCCATTAAAACCCCACAAACACATCCCATCTACAGAATTTCATAACTGTAAAAATAAAAATACAACAACCAGGCGAACATCTTCTCTAACATTAACGACAGGAGCTAGAAAATCACATACAATGAAGGGCAACTCACTCACTACACAGAAAAGTTATAATTCCACACACACACACATTTACACATGCGATGTGGTAATCAAAAACCCAGTCTAGAAGGATCCGTTATCCCTTCTATTTTTGCACCGCAATTGTGAAGAGAGAGGAGCCGTAGTGGGTATCTGAAGATCCGAGTTTTGGAGGAGGATATAACTATAAAAAAAAAAAAAAAAAAAAAAAAAAAACACACGATGCTGGTAGTATTGCAATGCCAAGTAGTGTGCAGGGATAGTAATAAGACGAATACTAATAAAAAGGAATGAAGAAGAAAGGAAAGAGGGCGAGGGGGCGTGGTAGAGTGGGAGGCCCCACTTGCTCGGTGCATATCTCGAGGACTGGGACAAAGGGCCGACGATCCCCCCTCCAGATTCCGCTCCACAGGAGAAAGAGAATGTTGTGTAACTGCCCTGTGAAGCTTGCATGCAAAATTGCCTGCATTATATGTGTATATATATATATATATATATATATATATTGTATGGCTCTTTAGCGGCTGCATCATTGTCTCACTGTGGAAGGCACTGCAATGCAACGCCATCCTGGTTGGAGGCAATGGCGACTGACACCCAGGCATCATGACAGGCTGCCAGCGAAAAAAACAAAATTGGCACTGTAGATCGACGCTGCTCGGAAATCAAGCAGCATTGGAAAGGTGAGGCCTTGAAGCGACGCAAAGTTGCCCCAGAGATTCGCTGTTGGGGGGGGGGGGAGGTTGGATTATCTCGTGGATGATGCATCAAGTGGAGGAGGAGGGAGGAGTGGTGGCGTTAGAGTTGCCTTTTGTTGTGAAGAAGCGGGGAAGGGGATTGAGAATCATGGGCCCAGTGAGTTTTATTGTTCTCCAATTCGGCTCCTTGTGTGTAGTGGAGCAGCGATGGTTTGTCACCTGCTGTGCAAGTAATGCTCCGAACAAGACGCTTTGGTTCCCGAAAAGAGGGGCGAGGATTCTGTGTTTTCTATTGGCATTTTGCAGTCTCCTGCTTCCGTGATCGTGCACACCTTCGGCTCGTTGCTAATTTGAAGCCACTTTTCGAGGGGTGACGATGGAGATCAGCAGAGTGTCAACTTGGGTAGGAGAATCTTGCAGTCTACAAGGGAGAGATTCTTCCATGAAATCAAAAGTAGTGTGTGTAATTGTGAGTGGGAAAAAACACAAATTGTGTGCAATAAGAAGAAATATATATATATATATATATATATATATAATACGGTGAGGCAGTAACGGGGGGATTTTAAAACGAGGAGATCGCAACGCGGAGAGATGCTAACATACGGCATGCACCGTACGAGAGGGGAATGTACTGTTGATTGATTTGTCTCGTGCTCCTCTTGTTGATTGTTCATAATTATGAGACCCCACGACGGGACTAGCCCCGGTGGTGCGAGACCTCGGCGAGTGGTGGATGGGATACTGCGGCGAGACCTGGTAGATATCCCTCCTTGTTGTGTGGGTTGATACCTGCGCCGGGGGACTTCTCTCTCTGAGCTCTCCGCCTTCACGAAGGCATTTCTCGTCCTGTTGCGGATGATTCCTTGGGCTGCTGCCATAGCTGCCCCCTCCCTCCCCTACCTCCCTGTGCGGGTTTTGCTTGCCATTCCACTGTTGTCGACGATTTCGTCTGGCTCCGGCTGCCGATCCTCACCGCCTCACGACATCCTTCTGCTGCACCTTCTAGTGAGTCATTCCATCTCTTTCTCTCACGGAGGGCGTTCAGGAAATAAGGCATCCGAAGAAGAAGAAGCGTTTGTGTGCGAAGGGGAGAATCCGTGAGAATTCTGGAGAGGCGGAGGAAGAGACAGGAGTAGTGTGAGGCTTTGTTGTGAGGCGAATACTCGGGGATGTTGTGGGAGGTGGGGTACTGTTAGTTTCGGTGGTTTTTACATCTTGGGTCATAATTTTGCGCGTTGGGAACAATTTTGTGGTATTTTCGGGGAGATTGTGAGGATCGTTTCGTGGTTTGACGTGGGAAAAGGTGTCGGAAGTGTGAGATTTCCCTGGAATCCTGATAGTAGTTGGTGCTGTGGGTTGGGGGAAAGATACAGTTGGCAACCATGAGCGGGGACAACAGGTTAGGCTGATGGAAGTGGTGGGGAGGAACTGAGGGAGGGAGAGTTGGTTTTTCGTCCACTCAGGGCGTGGGTTTGATTTCGCGGGCTTGCTCGTTGGAGATCATCATCCTCGTCTCACTAAATGTCTGCAGAAGAAGATCTGTACCTCAATCAGACGGAAGCAGAAGCGCTGTATTTTCCAGATGCGCTGCTTGACAATGCCGATGAGCTTGACTTTGGGTCATTTGGCGAAGCTAATGGACATGATGTGAGTTGTTTCTTTCGCCACATGTTCTGTTGCTGGTTTCCTTCGGCATGTGTTTAAAGCTGGGCCAGATTTTGTCAGTTCTGTCTGCCACCATCTTTGGAAGAAAGTCGAGGAGGAGTTTTCGGAATATTGGTTTCCGCGCTTTGTTACTAGAGCTTCCAGTGTGACGCCACAGACTAAACCGTAGAAAACATTCGCAAGTTACCAGAGCGGGGTTTGGGTGCAGAGTACAGTTTGCCCCTTCTGGGACTTAATCCGGAGGAAACAAATGGATTCCTGTACTCTCCCTTTTCGGTGGTTCTCAATTCAGCGCAACTCGAATTTTCATTTTGCGACTGGGTCTCGATTGGTCGTTCTATCTCTTTGCTTGTGATTGATCGATACTTTGAGCGGGTATCTTCATGCACATAGCCTAAGTTTGCGATCCCCTTTTGCGAATCTAGATTGACAGTGTCCTTTTAAGTCTGACTGCAGTTGGAACCGGTTTGGCTGCAGCTGGGAGTGCTTGCTCTCCAGAAAACTCGATGTTGGTGGTTTTGTTTGTTGTTATTATGATCATGGTTACTATTATTATTACCATCACTGTTATTTTAGTTTTGTTAGTTTCAGCGTCAAAGCCTGCGGCTTGGCTTAGTTGTTGCAGATCATATCATGAAAGTTAGAGTTTTTCTCCGGAATCTCCAGCTGCATTATGCTTAAAGATTCCCCGCGTGTATATCTAATTTTAAGAACCGGACTTTTGACGGGGTTGGCTTAACCTGCGAAGGATCGTTCTTGTATTCGAAAGGCTGAAGTAAGACCTTGGATCAGAAGAGAGGGTCGTTGTATGAGCTGTTCTTTCCTAGAGCACCTTGAAGCATGGAAGCTTCCCTCCTCCATGCCTTCGGCTATGGCGAGAATCAATTTTTGTTTTGGTCGGCTGATTACTGATACCAACATCTTGTTTGTTCTCAGGATGGCACGTTTAACAGCATTACAGGGCCCTGTTTGAACTCATTTGAAACCCGCGACATTTTCAAGTCTACAGGTCTGGGTGGAGACTCTTTTGTGGATGATATTGAGGAGAAGTGTGATTCAGATTTGATTATCCAGCAAGAAGCAGCAGCAAACCGTGCAGGCTATACTAATGGAATCCTGCACAATTACAATTGTAACAAGCCGACATTGGACCTGGAGAACATGGGCATGGCATTTGGTATCTCTGGGTCTTACCTGCAGGGGAATGGGGTGACAGGCATGGGGTCGCCCTCAAGCCCTTTAATGAGCCATTTTGGCGTATTGTCACCGTCCATGGTGGCATCGGAGAAGCTCAATGGATTGACTATTGGGCAGATGGCGCCTTCCTATTGCCCCGCTTCGTTTGAAACGAAGCCCACGACAAGCATGGGATTTCCACCAGCGGTGGCTTACTCGTCTGCACAATCAATGTCTATTAACGCTGGGACGAAGCAGTTCTTGTCGCCTTCAGAAGCGTCGCCTATCCCGCAGGCGGTAACATCGCAGCCAGCAGCAAATGGGCTGTCTAGGTTTGGAAGTCAGGACATGCTTTTATCAGCCGCAGAGAGCAATGGTTACCACAGCACATCACCTGTATTATCCCCAAATTCATCTGAGGGGAAAGAGCAGGTTGAGCAACTTGTTGGAGGTGAAAATGGGATGAAAATGTCCCAAGAGAAACAATATTACAGCCTGAATCAGCAAGGTGTAATGCAGCAAGGCAGAGGGGTTGACACTACCAGCTTCGTTGATGATCAGGTATCCTCTGGGTTCTTGCTCGTAAAAGAAGTTGGCAACTTCTAAGGCTTTTGGCTGATATTGTGAATTCGTGATTTTACCGGTTTCAGTGCAATGGTCATGCATGTTTTGGAGTGTTTTATTGTCCTCAAGGGTCAGGATGATGTCTTAAACTTTTTTGGGGCGTCATTCTTGAATGCAGGTGGATGGAGACGGGGATGGATTGCAGCCTCTGCCGCAAATGACTCGATCGAGCATGCAGCGAAGTTTTAGTAGCCATGCATTGGGCCAGCTCCGACACATGAATTCTGCCCCACCTCAGTCAGGAAGCGCGATGAATTCCCGTCACACTCAGGTGGAACGTTCTGTAGAATTGACAAGTCCAGGGGCGCAGTTGCAGCCTAGCGTCGCTGAATCTCAGAGTTTTGGGATGCGCCCCATGATGCGTCGTGTCTACAGTGCTGGGGATATTCAGGTAAAGCTCCCAGAAACATGAGACGATTGCTGCCTTGATTTCGGATGGCTATTTATTCATGAACAAAGGACGTATGAATATATGGCTCTTTGAATGTAGATGCTACGTGAGTAGCACTCTTAGGTGGGCGTTAATGCTGTCACGAAAGGATTACTTGTTCATGTCGGGGTACGTGATTCCATTCTTGGTGTCATTATCTTGCTGTCTGTGCAGACTTTGAACAGAATGCAAGGTGGAATGAGCGGAAGTGCATCTCCGAGTTTTGAGGATGGCAATTACAGGGTGGGAAAGTATAGTTTGGAGGAGCGCAAATTGAGGATACATAGATATCAGCAGAAGCGCAGCCAGCGTAATTTCAACAAGAAAATAAAGGTACATTTGCTGCTGCATTTCTTGCACATCAGCTGCTGCATTTTTCTGCTGTATGACTCTTGAGGTGAGAGTGCGCATCTCAGGAATAGGTTTCTTCAGATTTCTGTGTTTTCGAATCAATTTTCCTGAGACTACAACGATTAAGAAAGAGTACGAGCCTTTTGATTTAGTCTCCCCAAGTAGAGCAGCTGAATACGACATTGCATTTAGTGAGTACTAGGGCCTGACCGTGTTTACCTGATCTGGTGCAATGCCTTTTCCAGTACGCCTGCCGGAAAACTTTGGCAGATAGCCGCCCACGAGTTCGAGGACGTTTTGCAAAGAACATGGATGATGATCTACCGACCGCTGCCTTTGGGCGTAAGCGCGAAGACGATGACGACGATGAGGTATTTTGAATGCTGCTAATTAACTAGTTTGAAGAGAACGTTGCAGTGGATCGTTTCTTTTGATCTGTGTGTTAATACTAGGCACGTCTGCACAGGGTGATACTCATGGCGGTAGAGAGGCCAATGGATACTTCTTCGACAATTCTTCAGGAGAATATTCTGATATGCTCTCATCTGTCAAAGTTGAGCAGCGCACGGTCGACAGTATGTAAATTTGAACCTACAGGATTGTTGCTGTTTTGAGTTGAGTTGAATGTGTGCTCTGGTTAATCAACATCCTTCTCCAGCTTCAATGCTGTTCAGTTTTTTTTAGTATATATTTAACCTTCCAAGCGCATGGGTTCGTCGCGTGGAGGAGAGGCTGGCACATTCTGAGTACCTATACACCGCCTAGTGGTTCCATGCTTTAAGAGGTGAAGTTATATTGTAGAACAAGGGTGAGATGTTGTTTTAATCGATCTTTCTCTTACCTCTAGTTCCACCAATCCTAGCTCTGAAAGAGTGGGAAGGCAAGGTGAATATTGTGCAGTGGTATTGCTGATTATGAACTAGTGAATCGTTTAGCATTGGAGTTCAGTTAGATGAGAAGGAGAGGTACAGGTGGTGCAGCAGTTTGAAGCTGTAGGCAGTCCCCACCAATCAGGAATCGAGACAATCGTTTAGCTCATGCTGTAATTATTAAATGTGGCTCAAAAGCAGCCCCATTTGTAAAATGTCGGAATGTTTTGTTAGGGAAGTGTTCCGTTTGTATGAAGTAGTTGAGCTTTGTCTTTTCTTTTCTTGTAAGTGTCACAAGATTTATCCATGCTCTGTTGCCTATGTTCATATTAGATTCTCAACGGCATTTACTCGAATCACCAACCACTAATTGCGTGCTTTGTGTTGACCGCTGCTGAGCTTCCTGGTCATTAAGAAGAAGGCATCAGTTGTAGCTACCTCTTTTGGCTTCATCGTGTATGTATATATATATATATATATATATGTAGGGGATTGATACGTTGACCGGGGTCATATATAAATGAATGTTTATTGTTCTCGGTTGAAATGCTGCAATTTGCTATTAAGTCACCGGTCAGCTTCTGAGTGTATTCTTCCTCTTCGTACAGGCTTGCAATTCAAAGCAGATAATCTCATGGTTCTGATCCCTAGATTAACTCGATTGATGTGGTTTTGAATATTTTTTCTGTTTTGCATTGCAATGGGATGGTCATGTTTGACTCCACTGCGAAGGACTTGTAGAGCAGTGAAAGAGAATCGTTCCCTCTTTGTGATTTCTTCTCAACACATCACATTGATTAGAACCGAGTTGACCCTTGAATGATTCCTTTCGACAGGGAAACCTTACCTCAATTTTTGTGCGATGATTTTGCAAGAGGTGCATGGATTTTCTTAGGTGGGCTTCTCGTACGAGGTGGTACTGAATCGATTTGTACGAGTCTATATTGCCTCTATATGTACACAATCCAAACAAGGAACGGCTTACAATGGCAAGATTCTATAAAGATAGCCACTGAAAGGATTCACTGCCCAAAATGAGCCCCCTATCGATGACACAGCTTGTGTAGTCTGTGCTGTACTTGCGATTCTGTGTCCATCAATCAAAACACTAGAGAGCGGGTTCTGTACGCCACTAAGTGGTGCTGGCACTTCAACCTTCAATTGACTTGTGATGGGTTTGTCCGAGCATCATTTCAGGTTCTGGTACCTGAGCAAGGTCACCCTTCAATAAATTAATGTCTGCGTATGTTTCACACATGGGGCTGCCTCCGAGCTTAGTCCTTCTCTGCAGACCTGACCGTGGTGAGAATTGCGATGCATCCACGTCACGGACACGCCACCCGTCGAATCCTCCCTCAGGAATGTTGGTAGAATAGTATTTGTGAAATCGACGCACATGCGCATGATGGGGTCGTGTCAAACTGCTTGCGCACGTTCACAATGAAAAGCCTTTTCGAGCAGGAGTTGAATATTAACGTCTTTCTTACTAATTTTTGCTTTTCCTTCACCGAGTGGATCCCTGATTCCTGGATCTGTGGGGAGAATTTGCAGCCATTTGTAGATTTTGGAGTCCATTTCATTATGTGGTTCTGAGGCTTTTGTTTCGCTCGAGTAAAGGAGTCTGTGGGGTGTGGAGCAGGGGATGCGAACCCTTGGTAATCCTTGGATCCAGGATTTTTGATGAATTGTCCACCAACTTTTGCACGTTTGCACCGTTTGAGCCATGTGGGTTCAATTGCTGTTTTGTGGGAAAGCAATGGCATGGAGATGGAGTGTGTAGAGCAGGAGTCGTAGATGTTTAGGGCAAACCTTAGCCAGCGGGAGTGGATCTACGCTTGTGTTCTCCATCGTTGTAGAGCGCTTGTGAATTTCGGATCATTCGGGGTATGTGCATTCTTTAAATCAAGGGGAGTTGATTGGAGTAGTATACGAGTGCACCGAGGAGTTTGATTCAAGGTAATGGAAATCCGGATTTGTTAAGGTCGTGCAGGGGCGATTGGCAATTGGCGGAAATGGCGATGGTCAATGGGGATTGCAATGGGGCGCAGTGGTCGGGTTTTTAGACACCGTGGTTGGATTTGCTGCCGGTTCTGCCGAGTCTGCTGATTCTGCTTACCCACGCGGTTAGGAGGGGTTGTAGGGTTTCAAAGCTATGGCGGTGGTGACATTGCACGTGTATGATGTGACCAACAGCATAAGTGATGGTGCGAATAAAGCCATTTCGAGTCTGAATAGAATCATGCGCGGCGGAATTGGAATCGGTGGCATCTTTCATGGTGCTGTGGAGGTTAGTGTTCACATCCTCATGTCAACTCGATTCCGATGATGGATTTTCGTCAATTAATGGTATATGAATCTATGTGTGAAGCTGCAGATGCCCCGCGCAAGGACAGTTTGGTTACTCCGCATAGATTCAAGCTCTTATTTGTTGTAATTTGTAGGGTTTGTGGAGAAGGCATGTGGATAATGATGTCTGAAACATTTATTTCAGATTTAATGCCGCACGCTAGACTGGAGCACTCGAGATATATTTTTTTTTACATATATTTCATTTTTCATATTTTTGCATTTAAAAAATTTCATGTTGGCCCAGATTTTTCAGTCTGTACTTTATTTTCACAGCTTCCAATGTTTATTGATATTTCTATAATCTTCGGCAGGTGTACGGCAAAGAATGGTCTTTTGGGTATTGTGAAAGTGGCAGTGGTGTCTTCCCGTGTACACCGATGCGAAATCCCATGTATAATTACAGAGAAAGTTTGACATTGGGAAGCACCGATCTTTCACGCCTGAGTGTGGATACAGCCCTGCTGGAGCTCAGTCGAGAGTGGCAGGGTGCCTCCTATGACCTCCTGGCTCGCAATTGCAACCATTTCTGTGATGCCTTCTGTGAAAGGCTTGGTGTGGATAAAGTGCCACGTAAGTGGTTATTCGCTCTGTTTCTTCTCGTGTGAACAAGAAAGTCTTCTGTGGCGTTCTGTTTCGAATTTCAGGGACTGTGTATTTTTGAAAGAACCCTCACGTGTGCAATTCTAGCTGTGACTTACTTGGATGTGTCTTGGCAGCATGGGTGAACAGATTTGCAAATGCTGGGGATGCTGCATTCGTAGTGGCGGAAAATACCATAACACGGGTACAGTATTTCAGTTCTAATCTCATTATTGGCCATTATTTCTGCTCTTGTATTCTCAGTCAAGGTCGAGAGTACTCTAATTGTAGTGAAAGTTTTCGTTGTCAACGCTGGTTCTGGCAATGCTTTCAATTAATATTACAGATCTACTTCCACTTGATTCAAGTGCATCTCATCCAAATTGAGTTGACTTTCACCCAAGCATTTCTTTTTGTTCGAAGAAAGTTTTAGTAGCTCTGATATCTTATCTCTAACCGACAACTTGGCCTTCTTCTGATTGTTATTTATACTTTATTTTATGCTCATTATGCCAGTTAAATCAAGCAAAAGAGGGTGTGTTATCAGCGAGCAGGAGGGCCATGCAGTTCGTGTTTGGATCGGCTGCATCCTCATCAGCTCCTCCCGTGGAGTCCTCTGCAACAGAATCACCTGGTAATGCAAATCTGCCTTCATTGGAAAATCCATCACAACTTCCTCGAAATGGTTCATCCCCAACATTATCTCAGGACAGCCTTTTGTCCCTGGAAGAAAGTTCATCTGATTCCGACTGTGATGATGACAGTAAACCACCTCCATGATGTGTCGCTGTTTATAGCTCATCTTGTCCTGGCAATTCAACCACAGTCGTACGCATCTGAAAGGTAAATTAGGTTCTCCCTCATCGGGCGTTTTCAGCGCTGGCTACGTCCAAGCAGCTAAGTGTACAGGAGCCTTGAAAAATTCAACTGTCATTGGCAGTGCTTTCGTCTTCAAGATATACAATATTTTGTACCTTAGTTCATGCAGAATATGGAGCTCATGTGCTAGTCTAGCCTCACTTTCCTCTTTCAGCACGCAGGATGGACGTTTGGCTTTATCCTACCCATCTTGGTGTCAATATGCAGGGGCAGGTTACTGAAAGCCCGTTCGTTTTTCTGACGAGGTCTCAGGGAGGATCAAGGACTGTGTTGCCTAGTATGGTCGCTATTATGTTCGGCAATATATTCTGGTGGTTAGACTTCAGTGATTGGATTTTTGTTTTTACAATCAACACATTATGTTAAAGAATAAAGAACATTATCTTCTTGCTCCTTCACTGACGAGCCTTCCGTCATTTTGCTTTAAAACTGCAGGTACATGTGTTTTGGGGAATGATCTGCACCTTGTCTTTGTGTAATTTGACATTTTCTTCTCAAGGTTATTAATATGAGAAAGTTATTTAGTAGACTTTGTCTTGTATCATCACGGATGGTGGTCTCATTTTTGCAGTCTTTCTCATGATTCTCACGCTCTTAATCAATTTCTGACGAGCTGAGGTCAGGATTAAGATTTCATCCAAATTAGCGCATTTTCTAATGCGAAGAAGCACAGTGGCTTTTCATGTACTGAAACTGAACCACATGTTCAGTGTGGATGGGCCCTGTTGGTGGGTCTAATACGTTGTCACAATCCTGAAAGGAAAGGGTGGAAACCCAGAGAGAAACCACGGAGGGATACTGTGTATTATTAAGAATTGCCCGTAGAGGACAATTAAGTGGGGAAGGAGACCTTTCAAAGGAATAGAAATCTATCCTTTTCTCCACTAGCGTGGCGAAATATAAGTGTAACTCTCAGAACGGGAGGCAGTTGGTTGGGTTTTTCTCATGAACGTTACATGAGTGTGGGGGGTGTCTCGACAGTGTGTACTGGCCGTAGTGTTAAAGAATTCTCTACAGCCAGAAGTTGATCTTGCGTTTGGGCTTGTTCGAAACCATCTCTGCCTTTTGTGTGTGGTACATGCAAATCTATAGTTGGGTGCTGTGAAATGTGTTTGGTTGTTGCTTTTCATGTCGAGATCCGATTTATCTCACACTGAAATCGTGAAGCTGTTGTGATAGAGCCAGTTGCTGATACCAATCGGGCCTCCATTTCTCTGTAAATTTGCATCTTTGTGAGCTAGATCTTCAGTATTGTTTTCATTTGCCGTTGAAGTTGCCGACAAACTTTGCTACTTGTGTACTCTTGTGAACACCAATAGTTATTGACTCATACTGAAACCCTAGTATTGCAATAAACTGGTATGTAGATTCGCAATTTTTGGGTTTTAGTATCAGATGTCACTAAGAAATGAATGCTCATAATTCCTTATGCAGGCAAAGACTTAGAAATCCAAGTTTGCAGCAGCTGTGGAGAACAGTGTTTAGCACTCCACGAACCTCCAACTTCTTTAATCCGTCTGATCCAAGTGTTTCTACTCTCAATGACTATTTGGGGACGGCTGATCCTGTGAGGGATCCTCCTCGGCCACCTCGACCAGCCTCCACCTCAAGAAGCAGCACATCCAACTTCTAGACAGGAACACACACCAGCTTGTCGAAGTTATGTACCCTAAACCTTTTGAGGATATTCCAACCATGATTTCATTCCACTCAGATCGGTTTCACTGGATTGACATGCTTATTCCTACACCTAGACTTCCAAGGGACTAATTAAACTTCTTAAACAATATTCAACTGATAAAGGGCCATAAGCTATGAAGTGTACAGTATACGCATGGATGAGGTCAAGTTCTCGTGCTGTTATCTAGAAAGCATTTACTCTAATTATTTCGGTGTTCCTTCGGATCGATTGTAAACACCGATTTGGGAATTTTGTTGAGTGAGCATAAATGTTATTAACCGAACACAGATAAACGCCTAAGGTTGAGGAGGGCTGTGCTAATTATCATTGTAAGATGAAAAATCCTAGGTTAGCTACATGTTGATAATCTAGTGCTCGACGAATCCAACAAATCTAGTGTTGTTTTCCAGGGTTCCCTTCTGTTATGAACTCGTTTCCCATCTGAATCTTGCGCAGTTTTCAGGTCATAGATATCAACAAAGATGTGCAGAAGCTGTCTCGGCCACTACCAGATGCCGTCATCGGCCGAGGCCTGTGCACCACGAGATTCAATAGACAATCACTGACAGTTAAGGAACGGTGTTGGGATATGCTGGCTTTTTCCTCCGTCTTCATCTGAAGGTTGAAAATCTATCGACAACATCTCCTCGGTCTGTAACGATCATATCCAGAGTCAATGTAATCATCCACGCAGCACACGCACTGGCATTGGAAGACAGTTTGACCTTGAGAGTGGATCATGAATCCACTCTCGTTTACAAATCGATCACCCCTCTTCGCTTTCCACCCATAGTCTTGTTTGCAGCTCCAGCCCTCTTTGCCAGAATCCCAGGACATTTTCATCAGAGCAGATCTGCAGCCCTGTGTCACTTCTGCTACTTCTAGTAACATGTTCTCTTTGTTAGTTTCTCATGGGTCCTCTTCGAACAAACCCCAAAAACATTCTCCGATGATCAATTGTGAGACGTTGACTGAACAATTCATCAAGTCGGACTGATATCTCTCGGATAACATGTAGTCTAAAATAATACAAATTGTGGCAAAGTCTATTCTATTATTGACAATATTCTTTGGACAATGTTTTAGGTAATTTAACATATGTGTTTACATGAAATATTCAAGATTCTTGTAATTAATATAAACTATGATTGGATTAGAAGCATTTTCTAGATAATATAATCATTCGTAGAATAAATCTACAATAGCTAGTTCTTTTTTGTTGTGGATTTCAAAATAAATTTATTCTATTAAGAAAATTCTTGAATAAAAAGTTATAGAATGAAATCTATCATTTGCATCCATTTGTAATAAAATTATACTTAGTGTAAAGTCTAATGCATCTATTTCCATACAGAAACAAGTTAAAAAAATCTATATAATATAAAGCAAGAGTTGAAGTTTTTTTTTTTTTTTTTTTTTTTTTTTTAAATCTTTGAGATTGCTTTTGCATCTTTACTCTACTTAAATTTTTCTTTGCAAGTAAATCATATAAGTGGATGAGAAACTTCAAAAAAATTCTTAATAAATATTTGATATTGATTTGCAAATGCCAAAAAATATTGGATATCACATATTGTTTTGGAGTTGTTAAATCTATAATAGTTTGTTTCTTAGAATCTATTTGTAAATTTTTATTTGAGATAATATATCCTAAAAATTCTATTTAAGTTGTATGAAACATATATTATTCCATCTTAGCATGTAATTTTATATTTCTAAGTTTTTGTAGTATAAAACAATTATATTGTTATGTTCTTTTATATTCTTAGAATAGATGATGATTTTGTTAAAATAATATATAATAAACTCATTTAAGAATTCACAAAATACATTATTTGTCAAATGTTGAAAAATATTTGAAGCATTTGTAAGTCCAAAATACACCTAAACACAGGATTCAGTACTTCGCACATGTCAGACTTACCGACTGATTTTAAACCCGCACGAGGGTTGAAACCGAACATTGCCATTGCACCTTTATGTCAAACTATCAACTTGGCAACCACAGTAGAGCCTTGGACAATTAAGGTATACGAAGGTATTAAGGAACAAGAGTTAACCTGCTGGACAAAATTTTTCTTGCATCATAAACCAGCTTTTGCTTAGACTTATGTTGATCTAAAAGGTATCCCAGCTGAAGTCTATGAGCATCGTATCATTTTAGAGGAGAACGCTAAACCGATACGGCAGAGGCAACATTGCCTTAATCCTAAATATTCCCTCATGGTGAAGGAGGAATTGGATAAGCTTCTTGTAGTTGGTTTTATTTATCCGATACCAAATAGTGAGTGGGTTTCTTCAATCGTGATGGTGCCAAAAAAGAACGGAAAAATCAGAATTTGTCAAGATTTCCATAAACTTAATGCGGCCACCAAGAAATATTACTTTCCATTACCTTTCACGGATAGTATGGGTAACATGTTGTCATTATTACCAAGTAGTAAAAGAATAGGAGTGGGGCACCAGTTAAAGTCATTCTGTGGTGTTGTTTTGGGTTGGCTGGAGTGCCATTTTCTTATATTTCTTGTATTTTTGAGAGTAGTAGTTCCAGTTAAGAGTTAACAGTGAGGAGCCGGTCACAAGTGTCGATTGAAGATGTTCTAGAATGGATGAGTCAGTAGCAGCAACAATTGCAACTTCAAGATGTCCAGATCTTGAAACTGGAAGCTCAAGTCCATGAATTGGGAGAATATAATGAAGATCTATCAAACCAGTTGAAAAAGGAGTCGATGGACGGACTGGAGGAGGAAGAAGAAGATTTGCAATTGGAACCACATTCGGTGGAACGCACATTCGATAATGCAGCAAATGATCAATTGGGTGGGCCAGAGAAAATAGTACATTTGTAGAATTTTGTTAAGTAATTTTTAGATAGATAACAATTGTGTGTTTGTGAGGGTGCTGCACAATTAGAAGTGAGGCTATGTAGAATATGTAAATAAATTTTGTGGTAAGTTACTGGTTGGTTATTGATAACCTTAAGAATTAGACTTATAGTTAGGCAGTTTAGTTGGTAATAGTAGGTTGTTACTAGAACAAATGGTTAAGAATTCAAAGGATCATAACCTTTGGAATCTGCTGGCCGACGGTCCATCTTTTGGTAGGATAAAGAGGTTGAAAAAAGAGAGATCGAGGCCAGACTGTGAGAGTCATAAGTCGGAGCAAGCTTAGTGCTACCTCTTTGTTTTCTTTGCTTTTATTATTTTCTTATGAAGAATTTAGATTGAGAGAAGTATTATTGAAACTGTAATTAGAATATTATGGAATATGACTTTGGACTGACCGATTTGGAAAAAATCTGTGACCTTGAGAATTGAGATTATTGAATTGTATTGTATCAAGTGAAGATATTGAATTTTGTATGATGAATTGAGAAACTGAATATAATAAGTAAGCTGGAGATCAGTAATTGAATATATATAAACCGCAAAGAAAGTAAGTGGGAGATAAATGGATAAGAATATGGAAGTATTGTTGAATTGATAGTCGTAGAATGGATTATGTATTGAATTAAGACGGAAGTAGTAAGCCTTGATGTTTTGTAGTTTGATAATTGATTTCAGATAGCCAGAGTACAGTCAAATGTAATACTAACAGACCCAATTCATATAACAAGTCTTTCTTCATGTTCGAACCCACCTCTATTAGTTCAATTGCTTTGGTATATTGAAGCTTGAATAAAACAAGAACAACAATATGCATAGAAATTATCTTTTAGACATCAAACTAGATATCACTCTTCATACAAAGAAAGTTGTAGTTGTGAAAAAAATACATAGATTATTATTAAATAAGAAATAGAGAGAAGTGACAAGCATATACAACATCAACTTCAACAAGTACAAGATTGTAGAAGTAATCAAATACATCAACAAGCTTTAAGATAAGATGGCCAATTTTTTTTAATGATGGTTGGAAGCAAGATAATTAAAGTAATTTTCATCTTGTCTTTTGATTTCTTTACAATGCACATTGATTTTTTTACAATAAGATAATTGATGAAATTATAAATAAAGTGATGTTGAAATAAAAAAAATAGTGATTGGAATTGCAAGAAAAAAGAATATATGAAGATTATATTGGAGGAATTTGTTGCTTCATTGGAGATTATGGTATAAATTGGCATAATCATATATAATCTATTGCATAAGCTTAGATTATAGGTTATATAATTTTAAATCATTTATACATATAATATATTTAATACATAGTGTAAATATAAAATTTTGAAACAATAAATATACATCAACTTATAGAAGCTATTAATTTTATAATTTTATTTTTATTTTTATTTTTTACATAAATTACAAAAAATAATTTTATAATTTTAAAAATATTATATTTATTAAATTATAATAGATATTTTAAACATATCATTAGAATCAAAAGAATTCTAAATATAGAAGATGTATCAATTCAAAATTTAAAAAAAAAAATCAAAAAAATAATCAATAAAAAAAATCAATCAAGGTTTGAAATCTATTAAAAAAATTAAAAAATTATATAACATTTGAAGTCTAATATTAGATTTTAAAACCCCCAAAATAAGATGGTAGGTCAAATCAAATCTTACAAAAACCTATCTATTTATAAAGTCTATTTAAGATTCAAAATTATCAAATTATTAATTACTATAAATTTATTTAATTTTAGTACAATTCAATATCATACTTAGAATGACAACCTTCAACTAGATCCAAAGGCATTTTTAAAACTCTAAAAACATCTTTCTATAATAAAAATTAAAATCTTAAAGCCAAAATCAAAGTTATATTTTACAAGCTCAAAACTTGCAAAGAAATTTATTTATAGATAGAAAATTAAATGTAATAAAAAAAAAGTGAGAAAAAAGGGAGGATATAAATCAAGTCAAAATCAAAAAATAAGGATGTAAAAAAATTGGATACGCCTTAGTATCCTTAAATTCTAAAATTTTAATCCTAAATTATAAATTCCAAACCATTAAATCCTAAATCCTAAATCCTAAATCCTATTTTAAATAAACTAATATATGAATAAAACTTAATTTTCACAAATTATTTTATCTTTGAAATAAAAATAAAAAACATATGATAATAAGTTATTATAAAAAAGTTATGAAATTTTAGAAATAAGAAATTAAAAATAGATTAATTAAATAAATTTTAATTTAAAGGTAACTAGGTTATCAAATTCAAGGTTTGAAGCTCACTAAGCCTGAAAAAGTGGTATATTTAAGATATTTTGAAAGAACCATGAGGCCTTAATATTATCCTCCTTCTATATCAAAGGTGGAACAACCATATAGGACATATGCACCTTTTTTTCTACAACTACTACATTTATTGGTGGTCAATATGATTTTTAAAATTTTTTTACTTTAATATGGTGTTTAAAAACAAAAAATTACTCTAAAGAGCTTGAATAATTTTTTAATCTTAATCTAATTCTTTACAATGGCCTCCTAAGGTTGTAAAATCATTTCATCATCAAAGTCTTGAAAATATAGTCTAAAAATTTCTATTAAATATTCAAAGAAATTCTATAATGTTTCTAAAAGCTAAAATAAATTTAAAACTATTTTTTCCTATCTTGTTAATTTTTTATAGAAATTAAATAAATTTGAATTAATTAAAAATTCTTATTAGTTACACAAATTATTAAAAATTTATGAAGTTTTTTTCTTGTATTTTTTTAAGATTCTAGCTAAAATTTATAAGATTTTTATAGATAATTAAAATAATTAGAAGACCATGTAATATACTAATCTTCATGATTAAATATAAATTATTTAAATTAAAAAAATATACTAAATTATCTAAGATAATTACTTTTAAGACTTATTAATATTATAATTTAATGAATTTTTACTTAATAAGACTCTTTTAACTTATAAAATCTTCAAAATTCTAATAAACATCTAAATATTAAAATAAAATTTGTAATTTTAGTATTTTTATATCACTATATATATATATATATATATATATATATATATATGTGTGTGTGTGTGTGTGTATGAGTGTGTGTGTGTGTGTATGTGTGTGTATATGTGTATTTTTAATAATTTTACCAATTAAGATGCAATGGTAGGACTTATCATATGTCAAGTTTAGATTAATAATAAATATGTTAAAAAAAATTACACATGCATAGAATCCATATTCTAAAATTTTAATTTTCTTATGTAAAAAGTCAAAAAGTTAAAATCAAAATTAATGTGGCTTTATCTTCCAAAATAATATCTTAAAGAACAAAGTATTTATACTATTAGAATTATAAACCTCAAAAATAAGAAGATAGATCAAGTAAAAATTGAAAAATAAGGATGTCAAAAAAAAATAGAATACTTGTTATATCTCTACTTGTAAATCATAAGTTTTAAATCTTAAACCTTCAAAAACTACAAATAACTTGAATTCAATTAAATTTAGTTTTAGCACCCTCCTATATTAAAAGTAGTCAAAGATGTGAGGTTGTTCAATTCATTTAGTAGTGATATTAAGTTGGATTATTTTCTTATATCAAAAGTAGTTTAAGCTGTAAGGTTGTTCATTTCACATGGTAATGATGTCAAGCTTGAGCAATTATCTATTCTTAACAAAGTAGATGTGAAGTTGCTTAATTTATTTGGCAATGTTATCAAGCTTGAAAAATTATCTAATGTTAGCTTGGTCAAAGATGTGAAGTTGTCCAATTCATTTAGCAATGATATCAAGCTATAGAAATTATCTATTTATAATATAATCAAAGAAGTTAGGTTGCCAAATTCTTTTGGCAATAATAATAAGATTGAGCAATCATCTATTTTAAAAATAGCCAAAGCTGTGAAATTATTCAATTTATATGGCAATGATGTCAAACTTAAATACCTTCATATATTAAAATTAGTCAAAGATATAAGGTTGTATAATTCATTTAACGATGATGTCAAGCTTGGAAACCCACTTATATTTAGGTGTCTTAAAGATGAAAGACTTCCTATTGATATTGATAATGATCTTTGTTTTTTCACAATCTTTTTAATAAAGTATCTTCAAAGAAGTCATATACTCTAATTTATTTAAAAGCATGGTTAAGTTTCAATATCCTTCAAAGTCAATTTTTAATAATATAGCAATTTTAAAGAATAAATTTTGGAATAATTCTATAAAAGAATAATTTCTAATTTAAGAAATATTTAAACTCTCAAATCTATTCCAAACATCTTTGTGATGTAGTGTTTGCAATACTTAGTATTAAATCTTCTTTTAATTTTTGTGGAAATGATATATCTAGTTGAAAAAAAAATTAAACTAAGAGATTTCTTTACTAACATAAAAAACATGCTTAGTATCTTGATTATATTTTTAGAAGAAAAAACACCAATTATCCAACTTAAAAATTGAGGTGTTGAAAAAGAAATACTTCTTATTTCACTATTTTATTTTTTATTTTTTTATATTATAAAATAATATCTCTAACTATTAACCAATCTAATTAAATATTCAAAAGGTTATAATTCCTACATTAGTAATGAACTTGAGATACATACAAATCTAATTACAATATAAGTTTATTTTATTTATATAATAACTTTGCATCAATATGTATATCAAAAATACTATATATATATATATATATATATATATATATATATATATCCTTTATCAAATTTTTTTTAGTATTATTAATTTTTTACATACCATGTAGATAATAGTCAAGTAAAATAACCTTATTTGATAATCTATAAAATAGATTTATTTTCAAGTTCCATATTTGTGTATATTTGTAATCATTTTTTTTTTCAAAAATATTTTTAAACATATCTTATAATTGATGATGTACTCTTATAATTCCATCTTTGTCTACTTTTAAAAATAAATTGTAAAAAAACGTATCTAATATAAATTCTACATCTCATTCAAATATGTTTTTTTGGCTATTAGTTTGTATTTGCAATGCTCTTTCTTTTGACATGCCTTGTAGATACATATTACTAAAAAATAAAACATGCAATAAAATTAAAAAAATATTGTATATTAAATATTTTTAACATATATGTATTTTTAACCTCAATGGTGTAATATTTATAATATTTTAGAAAAAAAATAATTCTATTTTTAAAAATCCATATATTTTGTTGAAAATTAATACCACAATAAGACTTTCATATAATTAGGGTTAATTTTTTAAAAATAAGAAATAAATTTTTATAATTTTTAATTTTGAATATTATATGAAGTAGTATTAAATATTTAAAACTAATACAAACATATATATATTTCATAAAATCTTCTTTTTATAATTATTTTTAGATATAAATGAATAAAAAAATATAAATATTATCATTATTAAGTTATTTTTTAAGTTATTTAAAAATTATAAAATATATTAATATATTAAAATCAAAAAAATATCAAATACATATTAAATTAAACAGAAATAGATCAAAATAGATCAAAAAAATATAAAATCCTAAGAATGTGAATCGCAACCATCTTATGAAAAATTTAAATTCCACGATATATATACTTAATGTAAAAATAAAAATTAGTGTTTAACTTCAAATTTCTTAATTAATTAATAAAGAGACTAATGAAGAGTGGTTATTAACTTCAATCAACTTCTTGATTAATTGAATTCTAACTATTACATGTTTAGATAAATTTTTTGAACTATTTATTTTTTTAATATTTCTAGAAATATTTGTTATTACCATCTGAAATTTTTTAGGATATTGTAGTATATATAAATCCAAATTCTAAAGCCTAATCACATTCTTATATTGATTTTTTGCATGTATAGAAGGTAAATTTTCAAAGGCTTTATTAATAGTATAATATGTAGGAATATTTGAACTTAGAATGTAAAAAATATATTTTTAGGATTAATAATGGGTTTAATAGGTTTATTAAGGATGTGCAACCTGAATTATATAAATTTAAAGTAAATTTATAGTAAATTTTATGATATTTATAGTAAATATCCTAAAAGATTATATATTCATGTGTTATTGAACTAGGAATAAAATAAGAAAGATGAGATAGTTTTAAGATAGAAAAAAATTGTATTGGCTATTTTTAATTACAAAGTGACCAAAAAGAGTCTTAAACCAAGATTTTTAAAAAAATAAAAAATAAAAAATTACATGATTTAAAATGGCCTTAGTCTTGCCTCTGTATATATATTAATTATAAAGAAGGTATTGTGAAAGCTTTCTAGGGACCCCAAGGCTTGTGGTCCAAGTTTTAGTAGCTACTTGGTAAATCTATAAAAGTCTAAATATCTAATTTGTATTTAGACAAATCTTCAAATTTGATTTAAAAAATTATTTTTCTATCTACTAAATTTGATTAAACATGTTTAAACATGTTTCTATCTACTTCTATTTAATTCTATTTATTTGAATAATACATAAATCCATTACATTATCTTTTCTTTTAGGCAACAAGTTCTACAAGGAGTAGTCAAAATTGCTTCAAAATTGATGAATTATGTATACCTACATTAATAATGTCATAATGATGAATCAAATTTTTGGTTTTAAAAAATATCCTCTTCATTGTAGCTAATCACCATTGTATTGCAAAATATATCATCTATGCAACAACAAAACAAATTTTTGGTGATTATTTTTATATCTAAAAAGCTACTCAATAGTTTATTGGTACATAACTTCCAATTAAGATAGTCGTGAATGTATATATATATATATATTAACATTTTTTTAAAGTAAATTTGGTTTAAATTATACTAGTAAATGCAACATCTAATTTTCATAGCGTAGATATTATATTTTCTACAAGTTGGCATATAACAGCAGAAACAAATTCATCAACTACACACAAGCGTATTATCCATCTGCAGAAGTGGTCGATGCCCAGCACAATCAACAGTACACTGTAAGCCCAACTACATTTCACCATTAATGCAAACAGGAAGATATCATGAGTCGACAAAAGCTTTTCAGTTCAACTGCTTCAATATTTCCTCTGATCCCCACTCTCTGATAGGTTACAATGAGTAATCCATGTCATAAACCAGCAGAATTATTGTGCAACCAATACAAAGATGGTGAAGACTAGAGCGTGATTAAGGCCGAGCCGGCACCCAGGTGAGTGGAAAGATCACAACAACGTTGTTGCATGTTCATAGATACAGCAAAAGCTTAAATACGACGGTGCAGGATCATGCAAACGAAATGGCACTTGGGACCAAGAGTCTCACATCTAACAAAGGAGGAAAACATTACTGAGTGCAAAAAAGAAGCATCTTTTTACTTTCTCTCAGGAAACAGCCACCGGCTTGGTTTGCATTTCATGACCTGTAACTTGATGCGGTGATGAACAGGATCCTATAAAAAGAAAATTAAGAAAGCGAAAAAAAGAAGAAAAATAAATTTTTTTTAAAAAAAGGGGGGGGGGGAGAGAGAGAGAGAGAGAGAGAGAGAGAGAAGGGAAAACCTTTGGCCTGAGTCTGCAAGTGAGATATCCCTCCAACTGCCCCGCAAGATGCTTCATCAAAAAAGGGGGCTAATTCTACAGCTCCACCCGGTTTCATCCTACAGGGGAGGTCTATGGTCATGGAGGCCACCGCAGGTGACAGAGCTTCTTCGTCATAACTGCACAGTGTTGTTTGTTTGTTTGTTTGTTGCACACCCCCTGCTGGGATTTGCTCATCGATCTTTCGATTCATACGTCGGGTTAAAAGGTTTGAAGAGGAACAAATTTAAACACTCCATTTGCTGCTGCTGCTGTTACTACCGCACCAGATGATTGCAGACACAGTTGATTTGTGCTTGAAGATGATGATGATTGATCCATCCAATCCTTGAAAGATTCGCACTTAGTTTGGATCCTGCAGTCTTGGAGATCCTAGGGGAGTGTTCTGGTTAGACGCCCGTTGCTCTTGGAGGAACGGGTGCCCGGTCGACAGCATCATGAGGTTGGGGAGCTGGGGAGCTGCGCGCTGGCCAAACCGATTCGGGGCTTGTTGCGCAGCGTTGAAGAACAAGGAGTTCATGTTGTTGTTGTTGCTGTTGGTGAGGGAGCCTCGGCCCGAGAAATCTCGAGAGTTGAGGAAATGGGAGGCGTCCAAGGTTGCTCTCTGCATCTGGAAGTCTCGAGCGTCGAGAGTGTCAGCGCTGAAGTATGCTGCTGCGGCAGCTGCCGCAGACTCCTCCTTGATTCCTGAGGAATCGCCGTCTCGGCCGTCGGAAAGGACTTGGCCGCAGGAGGGCAGAAAGCCATTGGAGAGGCCAGCGAGGTAAGGGTTGCCTTGGGAGAGCCGCTGGCTTGGGGGACCGCCTTCGCTGGACGCTGGGGAGGCGAAGGGAGAGTTGGAGATGCAGCCCGAGCCGATGAGGGTCATCGAGGAACTGTTGGAGTGATGGCCAGCCGCCCCGCCCATGGAGTGGTGGCGGGGGGATGCAGTGGTGGAGCAGTTCCCCTCGCGGAGCTCCCCAGCGTCTGCCATCAAGCCCGCCAGCGTGCAGTTGAAGCCAGTGTTGAGCGTGGTCGGAGGCGGGATGAGATTCAAGCGGTTCATGGCCGGGTTGGTCTGGCGGAGCGAATGCTGCAGGCTGCTCGAGGGTTGTGAGAATCCCTGCTCAGACATCACATGGACGCGTTTGAAATGCTGCATTGGGACATAACCGAACAACTCGTATCAATTTAAATGCAGTCAAGATTGCAGAGAATCGTTAAATTCAATTAACTCTAGGGAGGCGGCGGTGAACAGTTGATTCATTGAGATCGCGCTACTTCAGCAATTTCTCTACAGCTACTCATGTGACTAAAAGCATGTTATAACTCCTCAAAACGAAGAATCAATGCTACAATGCCAAACACGATTCAAGTTAGCTGTGTGGGATGTGGAAGTTTGGGACATGTTTAAAAATCGGAATGCTGATACAACACTCTAGAGTGAACTGCTAAAAGGATAGGTCTGACATACTACAAGAAGTTGCCGCGAAACCCACAGGACCAACGACCATTCAGACTTAAAAATTCTCACAGCTGCACTGATTGATCACAAGTACAACACCCTTGGTTCATGAACTGTAGAAGATGGGCACTGTAGACACTGCAACTTCAACACTACAGTGTATAGAGGCAAACAGTACAGGTGTTGCTCTGCGGTGTACAGGATGTGGGCGAGTGTTGTTACCTGAGAGCGGTAAGTGTTACCATCGGGTTCCACTACCCATCCCGCTTCGGAGGCCAAAGCTTTCAACACGTCATTGATGTCAGCTCGAGGGGGAAGGTTGTAGCCCCCGTATTTTCTAAGGCCAGCAAAGATTTTCGTGGTGATGGCTCGCCTCTGTCTCTCCCTCAACTTAGTCTTCTCCTTCTCGCTCGCGCTCAGCTTCGCCATGCTGCTAGTCCCCGACTTAGAGTCAGACTCACACGTAACTTCTTTCGGCATTACCAAACGATGCCTGCAAAAGGAATCAAATTAGCAACTCACACCAGGTGCTCTTTACCAGAGTGATCATGACCAAAATACTGAATGTTCGTAACAATGGACAGGCATTTCTGCACAACAGAATACAAGGATACAAGGACAGTACGTAGCTAATTCTTATTCAAGATACGGATTGCAAGGCCAGGGCTGACAGCACTCGTACGATGTACCATCCTAGTCCAAGGTGCAAAGGTTTCGACCCTGCCCCAGCGAGATGAGCGCGTGACTACTACCCAGTGCAAAAATGTTAACGGAACAGGGCATCACACTCACCCCCAAGTTTTTGTTGCACACGAAACTTCACCGCCGAAACATGTTTTCACCCATGAAGTTGTTTATTTGCCCCTGTGCTGAACCAAAACAAGAGCCGCCTCTACAACTCCAGTTTCACTGCGGCACCTCCAAGCAGACCTGTAGCGTGAGCTTCTCTTGATATGTATGAGTGCGTTGAAATGTAAAGTGCCGAGTTATTATCTAGCTCCCTCAGCGTGTCAAAGGAAGAGAGGGAGACTTGCAGTCTACCCAGCACCGCTTCAGTGATCACGTGCTGATGGCGGTAGAGTACTGCAATACTGCCTGGTTTACCACATCCGAAGAACCCACAGTGGTGGGCAAGAGTAAAAGAAGTCAGCTGCACCTGTGACGGACCATTCCACTGGTCACTGCTCACCTGAGGAAAGCAGCCAGATATGGCGAATCTCAAGTGACAACGTCTGTAGGGTGCACACTACCACGACCTAGGCTACAGTGTAAAGATAACTGGCGACGACGACGAAATCACAGCATGAGAACCACCACCCCGAGGCGTCAATGTGAAACGTGACTCCCGTCTGTTTCTCCCTGAGTACTTACAGCACGACTAGTTTGTTGTAGAGACTGCCATCACAGGCTTTGACCGGGACAATGACCAGGCTCAGAGGGGAGGCGCGGAGAGTCTGCGAGGAGGTCATAGGACCCTCACAGAGTTGATGTGGGTTGCATTGGGGGAAAAATTCCGCCCCCCACCTGGCTGGTTGTAGGAGATACCCAGCAATTCTGAGGGACTACAACACCCTAAAAAGTACTCACCACTTCGAAGAGAAGCAGAGGGAAGTAATCAAACCTTCACGCCCCAGCACTACTTCTAAGCGACTAGGTGACTAAGAATGCGTACTGCGATCCTGTTCAACTCAACCTCCACTTGTTCAACACCCAAACCAGCACGCCGCGAACACGCCCACAGTTTGCACAGACGCAGAGAGAACGTTGCGATTGATGGTCGAGTTCTCAGAAAAAACTGCAGCTGAACAGTTGCGCAATGACTTCGCCACATGCACAACAGCGGCAGAATCCTCACTCCATAGAACGAGCCCCAGAAGCTTTTTCTCGGATTGCAAAACCCAACAGCATCTGATCCACAATGCACCCTGACAACAACCAACGAGACTATCTGCAGAAGAAAAATATCCCACGCTGCAATGTCACTCAACCCGACGCACCCTCACCCGATCACTCACTCACTCGCTCACTCACTCACACTCACTCTATCTCTCTCCCTCTCTCTCTCACACACACACACACACACAACCTCCACCCTTCTACAATCCACCCACTCGCGCACTCACTCACTCACTCATCCGGTGCCCCCGCCACAGCACCCCAAAATCCTCCGCCCCAAAAACTCTCAGCTGGAGCTGTAGGGGGGGTAAATGCTCTCCCACTGGAATGGTGTGAAGGGGAGAAGGAATGGATTCTCGGACAGACAGCCAGGAGTGAAGAGCTGTGCATGAAGGTACGACTGCAACTACTAACTTACAACATACACAAAGTGTGGTGGTGGTGATGGTTTGAGAGGGGGAGGGAGGCAGGGGCTGGGTGGGAGGGAGGTGGACTGGGGGTGGGGAAGGGAATGGGCTGCACGCAGGCAGGCAGGAAGGCAGACTGGGAAGAAGGGAGGGCGATGGTGTGTGCTTCTTTCCAGCAGCCTGCTTGTTGTAGCCTCCCCGTCCTTTTGCTTTGGAAGGCCCCAGGGAGAGAGGGGGAGAGGGGCAGGGGCCTATACCCGTGCCAAAGCAACCCACTCTGCCTCTGCCTCTGCCTCTCGCTGGGTTGACACTGGGGTTGGAGCTATACCCGGTATAGTGCAGGGTTCTCGCTGCACAGCCCTTCACAGAGAGCTTGGTGCGAAGCTTCCCGAGATCTACACGAGGCGCGAGTAAGAGACTGGTGGCGGTCCACCGCGGCTCTGGTCAAAAGCATGTCCTGTGACCGTGGAAGCTCAATGTTGGTTCATACAGGGAGGGGAGATCCATTTCGGGTTATTATGGCGCCAGTTTGAGAGATAGCTGCAGCCTTGTGTGTACTCAAGATCTTTCAAAAGATGTTGCTTCACATGGATTCAGGCAAGACCACCCACCTACAAGATGACCCACTCCAGGAAACCTTTAAAAATAAAAATAAAATAGAAACAAGAAACTAAAACTATAAGGTATGAGGTGGCAGTGTGGGGTAGGGGTTTGCTTCTGGCCTAGCCTCTAGGATTGCTCCCCCACATGCAAAAATCTCTTTTGCAAATATCATCCAAAGGCTCACAGTATGTCTACTTATTAGGTCTCATTCTGTGGTGATGTGGAAAACTAATGGCACATGTTTTTATTATACAAGAATGTAAGTATATATGTCTCTATGAAAAAGAATACACTTTAGAATGGAAACTCAGTTGGAAATTTTAACCCTGTTGAGCTGCTACTCATACTGTTGAAGGTACAAGGAGCTCCTCAAATTTGAATGATCACACTATGATCAAAGATTGAGGGATGAAGCTATTTTTGTGGCAAGCAAGGGGCTTTGGGTCTTCTACTCTCTCTTCCATGATATTGGTGGGGTTGACCAACTTTTCCATGTGATTTGTGAAGCTGATCCAGATCTCTTTTATCATTGGCAACCAATCCACAGGGGGGAGTTCCACAAAGACACATGATATATATGCCATAGGCCAAGGGAGCCAGGTGGCACATCATAAAGCCCATTTGAGAGTCCCACCTAAATAGCACACAAATTTGGATAAAAAGGAGGGACAAGCAAAAGCCCTGTAGCCTGTCCCACCCATCCCTTCCAAAAGAGGATACAAAAACCCCAGTTCCCAGCACAAAATCCAGGGCCACCCATGCTGTGCTGTGGCTTCACTAGCCTCACTCACCACACCTTCTCATAGATCATGAGAAACTACAATGGTGGTGTTGAGGGAGCTCGTGATGGCAGGCCTGGGGCAGCGGCAGCAACATGCATGGCATGCACTTGAAAATTTTAGGATCCCAGTCAATGTGTTTCCTTGGGCAGGGAGAGTGGTCTGAACAACCCCTCAAAAATCTCTTAACCCTAGTCTTCCACTGTGAGGGGGATAGCAACATGCTCATGACTCTCGTCTGCAGCCAAGGAGGTCTGGTGAGAGTACCACTCTGGACCAGGCCAGGACTGAGCACAGTGGGTGTGTAGAGCCTGCCACCCATCCCCCCACCCCCCTGGGCAGAGAGACAGGCTTCAATTTGCTTTGTAGAGATATAACTCCATGTGTAAGAACTAAAAACTACCTAAAGGCTCACCCACCCATTAAGGTATTCTGAGATGTTTTTGAGATATAGCCCCAGCTGGACTTGAGTGAGAGTCAGTCTATCCCCCAACTGCCAAAAGGCACCTCCTTTAAATGGAAATCCAGCCCCCCACCAAATAGGATGGGACCCTGGTCAAAGTCAAAACTTGGCTGGGCTGGGGCAATGTTGAAGCTTGTAGAATCTAAGGTAAGAGCACACATTGATTTGTGTGGAAAAACAAAATGAGGGTGTGAGTTAGGGTGGCAAATTCTTCTATCTTTTATTTTTTTTTCTTTTGCCTCATGATTATATTGTTTGATGATTTTAATCAGAAGTAGATCATGCATGGGGAAGGGGGGGGAAAAGAAAGATTGAGAGTTTGACTGGGATTGGGGATGCAGTTGCTGGCTTGGATGAATGAATGAATTGCGTAGCCAGACGTACACCAGTGCGAGATGGATGATGCCGTGGGACTAGTTGGATGAGGAGATGGAATTCAGAAGCACAGAGATGCCTGCAAAGGGGATGGATGAAAGTAATTTCAGGTGATATTTGTTGGATGAGAAAAACGAGGAAATGAAAGCGACACATGGAGTAAGGAAATCATACGGCCCAAATCTAGTCTTTATGGGGAGACACAACCTCCCTAGCTCCTTTTAGTTTTATAAGAAAAATAAATACAAATTAAAAATAAAGAGTGAAATTCAGCCCTCCTTAAATAAAAAGCCCTGTGATTGGGTTTCAATGCCCTTCAGGCTCATCATCATTCCTTGCCCCTCAGTCTGAGTCGTAAAGACCCCTCCCCTCCTCCATTCCCCCCCACTTGCCACGCTGGGACTTGCTTTAGGGAACACATCGTTCCCCATAATTTCACTCTGAGAACGCACACTTAATTACCTCAATTCTGCTATCCCGTGCCTTGCCAACGTGGCCCTTCACCCAAGTGTAACCTAATTTTCATTTGCTGGTAATTGACCACTTGAAACATAAGAGAGTTGTGAAAAAGAAAATGCCATATTATATATATTCTAGATGGGTTCAATTATCCTTATCTGGACATATCATCTATCAAGGAACTCATACAAAAATATATCTATATATATATATTTTTTTATTTATTTATTTATATCTGAGTGTGATAAAATTTCAAATCTTTATTAGTAACACTCCTCCCTGCTAATGCATTAGATAAACCCTGTTTTTGTGTCAAAAACAAATAAATAAGTAAAGCTTTGAATCAACAACAAGGTGGGTAAAAAGAGATCAGTACACAAGAAAAATAAGAATTCTGAACCAAGGAGTACATAAGCTGAAGGAGAATTTAAAATAACATGGAAAACTTCAAATAAACTCATAATGGTTATGCACATATAAGAAATTTGTTTTTGTTTTTATTTTTTTATTCAGAGACTTTGAAATATAGAGTTGAGTTGTAGTATTATAGGGTTCAATTTTCAGTAAGTTGAATGTTTGCATTCATCTGGTTTATCTTGATGTGGAACTAAGCACCTCATTAAAATATACAAATGCTGACATACAGTTATGATATCATTTATTTGCAAAACTATATATTATGTAGGCTTGTAGGCATACATGAAGGTAAGTTAGCTTACAACAAACCATCTTGTATTATTATAAGATTAATATACAACTGCTTATACTGTTTTCCAATTACTTTCATTTTCATGTCCACAACATCATTATTTTATCTTTCCATCTTTGTCAGAACAAATTCAATTAAAATGTGCAGTTGAGGTCTATCCTAGACAAATGTTGAAGAGAAACTCCTATTAAAATGATGAAATAGATCTGTTTAAGATATGTGTATGTTGGCACATGTATGTATATAAATGTACATTGAAAATTAATACTGCAATGTATGATTATTCTTAAAAGTTCACAAAACACTCTCCATTGAACTGAAATATTTTTACTATAGTAACTTGGGTTATAAATTTTATATCCTTTGAAAAACTAAGATCACTCTGGCAGTGCTGCATAGATCAATTAATTACTGAAGGTGAATCTTTGAAAAGGGAAGAAAAGTTTTTAGCAAACATTGAACAATACCTAATGGAATCCAAAGTTACCTTCAATCTTATAAATTCATTTTCAAGTAAGTTAGTTTCAAAAAAAACTATGTCTTAATACAACCATATGTATCATGTTAAAACTTATTTTGTGTATGTATGTAGTACGAAAGTTGTTGACACACCTGCTGAAACATCAAATGATTCACAATGTTGCTGTTGGCTTTATTGGGCATAAAAAAGGTCATGTAAAACTTTTCCAAGTGTTAATAAATCTTCAAGAGAGTCTTTAATTGGCACAAATCACAGAGAGATGAAAATTCTATGTATCACATAACTTAATACAAGATTGTATGTAAAAATATTAAATATAGTAACAATAACAATGATATTTCTGATGGGTAAAATTTTGTTGTGATGCCTTCACAAGTTTCATTCTGAAATTATTTCAAAGTTAATCTAACCATCATATACAAATAGTTCAACTTTGTTATATTTAGTTGTTTATCTTCTCTGATTACTGCTACACATTACTTACCATTTTTTGGGGGAAAGATGGTTTACAAATAACAACAGCATTAACAAATGAATAAATAACTCCACAAACAAGTAAATATGTATATATATATATATATATATATGATTAGCAGCTATAGTTACCTTACAAGCACAAGTATAACCTTACGGGCATTTCAAAGAGAAGCATTTCCAAGCAGAATCATTTATCGTAACCTGAAGAAGTCAACAGAAGTTATTCACGGTCACATCCAAAAGCTTTGAATCCAAGCAGGAAACTTAGACCCAATGTCTTGCTCTAGGTCATAAACTTGGTAGCCAGAGGTGATGGTGCAATCAGAAGCACTGCACAAACACTTCCTTATGCTTCCATGCAAATAAAATACTGCCCCACTATCAGGTCATGAATACAAAATCATTGTCCATTTCTATACTTGTGGTGAAAAGTTTGAGGACACCAGATGAATGGTATCACATGTTCATCCATGCAAACGTTCAACTGTGAAATATAGGTCCGGACTGGATGAATCGGCGTCAGCACAACCCATGTGAATGAGCTCTAATTGAAAGATTAACATGACATTACTTGGATAACACATGCTCTGCAAGTGGACACACAATTGTATTATATTTCCACTTTGAATATCACAATACCCAACGTGGTTTTTCACTATTGTCGCCTTGCATTGCCAATGTGAAGTACTATACTATAACATGTATGTATAGAGAGAGAGAGATTAATGTATTTAATGTAGTTTAATTAATGAATA